AGACCCCTCCCCCAAATGTACCAGGTGCAACTTCCAAGCCTCCCACCTCGACCAGCGGCAGAGAGAACCTCAACACAACGCCTGCCCGGCCTGATGGTTGACCAACGAATTTATAACAGCAAATTTGCTGGCGCTGTGGCTGGAAAGGTCACCAGATGAGATATTGCACCCTTGTGGAATCTAGAGCCACTCCAGAACCACAACGTTTGGGAAACGGGATGGATCCAGTGCAGTTGGTGCACCACTGGGCACACCAACAAAAACAAAACACAGAGAGACTACCACTGGTGAATAGTGTCCGGCCTGCCTCCATCCTCTACCCCCTCAACCCCCTGACAGCTGTCGGATACCTGTGCAAATAGGAAGCCAGAGCGTGGAGGCCCTCATTGATACAGGTTCCACCGCTACACTGATCCACACTAACGTATTGCCCCCCCCCACACCTACCTGGGGGCTGTCGGTGTCCCATTGGGACTGTCACGGGTGACCAGGCTCCAATGATGGGATCGGCCTATGTGGATATACTGTATGTATAGCTGACCGAATGTTCCACCACCCCATCTGGGTTGCGGAGGTCAGAGAGAAGTGCCTATTGAGTTTGGACTTCCTGTGCAGGGCGGGTGGATCTTCTAGCTGAGGTGATAACCTTTTATGGCTGTCCTGCCATATGTCTTGGGCCTTCCCCTGCTCCTACTACTGCTGCTGTGGTGCAACAAATCGAGAGCCAACCACCAGGTCCAATACAGCATCCCCAAGACACTCTCACAGAGACACTCCAGACCGCAGTCCTATCAAAGCATTGCCCTCTGGAAGCAGGCATCTCCCCCCCCCCCCTAGCAGGCACTGAACCTGCACAACCCCCCAGTGTACAGCACCCTGTGGAAGTGTTTACACCAGCCTACCCCACTCCCAGCCTGACTCAACTCCTATTCCATACAGCCATCCAAGCTGTTACCCCCAGGAGTCCTACATGGACTCAAAAGCCAACTGACCAAGTGCCATGCCCTGCAGTGGTAGCCCAGTCAGACGATATCACCCTGGTCACTCTCAGACTGCAGAGCTTGTTGCTGTTGAGGTGATTCAGTCATTTGCGAGAAGAACTGAGAAGGCATGGAGCCGGAACAACATCATCGCCTTTGGGATCTGCTGTTTGAGTTCCGTCACAGCTTCGACCACCACCCCTGGGTGTACTCATCTGGTCCAGCACCAAATCAATACAGGCGATGCCAGCCCCTCCGTCAGCGCCACCGTCGCCTCCCCACTGGATGGCAGGCCATCGCATATGAGAATGTGGAAGACATGCTGCCAGCTGATATTATCGAACCCTCAGACAGCACCTGGGCCTCCCCAGTGGTGTTGGTCCAAAAGAAGGATGTGACATGGAGGCTACTGTGGACTACTGCCAGGTGAATTATATAACTGTAAAGGACTCTTACCCGCTGCCCTGGGTGGATGAGTCCCTTGACTTGGTGGTGAAGTCCACATGGTTTTCTTCTTTGGACCTTCAAAGCGGCTACTGGCAGGTGGCCATGGCTCCAGAGGACAAGGCCAAGACTGCCTTCACCACAGGGAAGGGGCTGTGGCAGTTCGGACTATGCGACGCCCCAGCAATGTTTGAACGGCTGATGGAGAAAGTACTGGCTGGCATGCTCCCTGAACACTGTATGTGTACCTGGACAATGTGCTGGCACATGGGCTGGACTTTGATGCTGCCTTCGAGGCGCTGAGGGAGGTCTTGGAGAGGATCTGTGCCGCAGGACTCAAGCTGCACCCTGAAAAGTGTTGCCTGCTGAAAAGGGAGGTCACATTCCTCGTCCACAGAGTGAGGGCCTCAAAACAATGGGGGACAAAGTCGCTGCAGTACAGCACTGGCCTACCCCGAGAGACATCCACCAAGTATGGGCATTCTTCGGCCTAGCCCAATACTGCAGGAGGTTAGTGGCAGGCTTCTGTGGCTGCTCCTCTGAACTGGCTCCTGAAGAAAGGAATGACTTCCAGTGGAACCAAGCGCATCAGGTTGCCTTTGAAGCCCTGAAAAAGGCCATTTGTGAAGCCCCCGTCCTCATTGCCTCAGACCCACAGAGACAGTTCGTCCTGGATACCAATGCCAGTGGTGAGGGGCTGGGAGCAGTCCTGTCGCAGGTCACCACTGAGGGTGAGCGGGTAGTGGCATACTATAACCATACCTTCAACAAGGCAGAGAGGAACTACTGCATCACTCACCGAGAACTCCTGGCAGTAGTGGACTCATCACCTCTGCCGCCACCTCTGTGACCTGCCCTTCGTCATCCGAACAGAACACGCAGCTTTGAAGTGGCTTCTCTACTTTAAAGAACCTGAGGGGTAAGTGACCCGCTGGACAGAGCAGCTGCAGGCTTTCCAGTACACCATCGTTCACCATGCCGGGGAGAATCACTGCATCAATGCTGATGCACTGTCCAGGCTGTGTCAAGCATTGTGAGCGCACAGATGCTCGAGAAGCAGAGCGACATCTGTCCAAAAGGCCATGTGTATCGGGCATTGCTGCCAGCAGATACTGACGGTGGCTGGAACAACACCAGGCTGATCCCGACCTACAGATGGTGATTTGCTGGGTGGAGGAAGGACATAGCCCCCCTGTGATGAGGTGGTGAAGCAGTCACCCACTGTGAGGGGACTGTGGTCACAGTGGCCTGGGGTGGAAATAAGCTGGTTTTAATCAGCCTCAGGAGAGGCTCGTTGGCAGTTTGTGGTCCCAGATGTCCTGAGAGAAGAAGTGCTGGAGCTACACCAAGGACACCCTGGTGTAGGACATTTCGGCATTACCAAGACTCTTAAGCAAATCTGCCAATCCTTCTACTGGGTGTATGATGTGCATGTGAGGGGGCAATTTTACATCAGGAGACCTGGTGTGGGTGTACGGCTCCAAGAGAGTGAAAGGCAGGAGCCCCAAACTGGACAGCAACTGGGTGGATTCCTGCTACATGGTTGGCCAGGTTGGAGTGATGGTATACTGTGTGAGGCTAGCACAGTTGTTACTCCTGAGGCCAGGCTGTACATAAGGCAATGTGTGTGCTGTGTGTTAGTGTGTGAGAGAGAGAATTCCTATGCATATTATAAAGGTTGACGTTTGATCTCCTCTGATGCGTTCCATTGAAGTAGAAGTGGTAACGGACATGTTATTGTGGTCTTGTTTTGCTCTTGCATGGAAGGAAGGCAGAATTAAAAGGAACATTCCTAATATGCATCAGTGGAATGTGACGGCCTGTTTATTGATCATCCGAGACATACACTATATATACCAAAGTATGTGGACACCCCGTCACATTAGTGGATTTGGCTATTTCAGCCACACCCGTTCCTGACAGGTGTATAAAATCGAGCTCACATCCATGCAATCTCCATAGACAAACATTGGCAGTAGAATGGCCTTACTGGAGAGCTCAGTGACTTTCAACGTAGCAGCGTCATAGGATGCCACCTTTCCAACAAGTCAGTTCGTCACATTTCTGCCCTGCTAGAGCTACCCAAGTCAACTGTAAATGCTTTTACTGTGAAGTGGAAACGTCTAGAAGCAACAACTGGCTCAGCCGCGAAGTGGTAGGCCACACAAGCTCACAGAACGGGACCGCCGAGTGCTGAAGCGCGTTGTGCGTAAAAATCGTCTGTCCTCAATTGCAACAATCACTACCGAGTTCCAAACTGCCTCTGGAAGCAACGTCAGCACAATAACTGTTCATTGGGAGCTTCATGAAATGGGTTTCCATGGCCGAGCAGCCGCACACAAGCTCAAGATCACTATGCGCAATGCCAAGTGTCGGCTGGAGTAGTGTAAAGCTCGCCGCCATTGGACTCCAGAGCAGTGGAAACGCGCTCTCTGGAGTGATGAATCACGCTTTACCATCTGTCAGTCCGCCGGACAAATCTGGGTTTGGCGGATGCCAGGAAAACGCTACCTGCCCCAATGCATAGTGCCAACTGTAAAGTTTGGTGGAGGAGGAATATTGGTCTGGGGCTGTTTTTCATGGTTCAGGCTAAGCTCCTTAGTTCCAATGAAGGGAAATCTTAATGCTACAGTCATACAATGACATTCTAGACGATTCTATGCTTCCAACTTTGTGGTAACAGTTTGGGGAAGGCCCTTTCCTCTTTCAGCATGACAATGTTCCCGTGCACAAAGCGAGGTCCACACAGAAATGGTTGGTCAAGATCGGTGTGGAAGAACTTGACTGGCCTGCACAGAGCCCTGACCTCAACCCCATCGAACACCTTTTGGGATGAATTGGAACGCTGACTGTGAGCCAGTCCTAATTACCCAACATCAGTGCCCGACCTCACTAATGCTCTTGTAGCTGAATGCCGCGACACAGACACTATACTTTGATCTTAGAGTACACAGCGTTGAACTTTGACAATACTTCCTTTATGGCTGAAAGTAGCACTCAGTCAGTCAGTCACTGGCCTCCTTACTGGTGGGGGAACCATCCTGGCCTTAACACAGTTTTCATAAATGTATCACCTTCTTTGACAGTCTGACCTGTGTAAAGAAAAACAGAGGGGCAGCACCAGCCAGGGAGGGGGATAAGTGTGAAGAGGTGGGGTGGGGGGCAGCTTTTTTTTCTCCTGCACTGCAGACGTAGTGCTGAGGCTTATCCCGGCCACCCTCTCTGCCTGGACCAGTGGACCAGAGGGGGAGGGAGGGCTCTGAGTGGGGTTGGTGTCTGCTGCTCAGCCCCCCCAAGGTGAAAGGGTGCCATTGAGGGACCCTGCAAACGGAGACGTCTGCTGCCCAACAACACTCTATGTGACTGCCAGAGGGAGATATGCCATCTGGATGACTACACTGTCTGCCTGTCTGCCTGTCTGTCGGATATACACACTAGTCTAGTGCACCCTGTTGATCTCTAATTTTCTCTCCATTTTTATTGCTCCCCCCTCTCTCTCTCCCTCTCCAGACTTCCCATCTGAATGTGATTTAAGTTCAGGCTTTGGGGAGGCAGGTCCGCTGGGGGAGGCATAGGAGGAAATTGAGAGGAAGTGCACACAATTTGTTTTATAGGACTGGCGCTTGCACCGCGTCTGGAGCTCGGACCAGTGGAAAAGTTAAACCAACGGGTGCTGCAGAGCGAGGGAGAGAGAGAGCTGCCTGTGTCGCAGAGAGACTTCACTACAGACAGGACAGGAAGAGACAGAGAGTGAGAGGGAGCAGTGCTCCACTGGACTTATACACAGACATGTCTGCTACTAGAGCTCTGCCCTGCCTCTGCCTTCTACTCTCCATCGTCCTCTCAGGGATCGTCTGCCCAGCGACTTCCATTGGTTTACATTGGGAACAGCAGTCGGTGATGAAAGTAAGACCAGACATTTTGTTTTTCCTCTGCTTGGCTGGTACAGGATGCACAGCAGGCTTCCAGTTCCTTATCACAGCTAAATACAGAGGACCTGTTGTTGTTGCAAACTTTTCCACATCACCTTTTCCACATGACTGAATCAGACGGTCACATTGGATATTATGTCCATGAACTGTGCTGAATGCTTCTTTAGCTAAACTCTAATGGGTTTTGATAGTCACTGCAAGAGAGAGAGATTTGTAATCAGTCAGTATGCCTCTTAGACTTTTTTGTGAAGTGCTGGGGTGGTTTGGGTGTGAGAGGATCTTGCTGTGTGGATCCATATCTCTAGCGCCGCACTCTGGCCACAGTGCTGCGTCTCAACTCTGTGTTCTGCCTGGGGTTGGGGTGTTTGTGGAGGCCCCCGCTGGCCCCCGGTAGAGCCCTAATGGGAACCAGCTGCCAAGTGTTGAGCAACACAAATAGAGGGAACACAGCGGGTAGAAAGGGCATGAGAAACAATACAGGACATGCTGCTGACACATTTATAGTGAGTAGACTGGGTACAGGCAGATATTTCCTGTTTGGGGGCCAATGGGGGCCCAAAGAATGGCCATCTATCTTAGAGAGAGGCCTTCTATCTCAGGGACACACAGGCAAAACAATGTGCCCAGAGCGAGACTAATGTAAATGTTGTTAACTACTTTGCATTGTGTAAGAAGTCACAGAACAATGAATTGAATAGCTATATTTATTTGTTGTTTGCTGAATTTAAGGCAGGGAGGGGGTGGGTGGAGGGGGGCAGGGAGCAGATCAGTGTCTAAATTTAGAATTGACGATCTTCTGCCTCTTGTGAAATTGTTTACTTCTTCTGTGTACATGAGCATTCTAATAGCAGAGTCCCATGAGGAGATAGAGGCCTCTCCACTGCAGACATATAGTCTCTGCTCTGTTATTGGATTATGATGAGATTCACATGACCCAGCCAGGCCCCTTTCCCATCCTCAGTATCTTCCGAGGAGTTTACCACTAAGCCAGAGACTGAAGCCTTCACTAGGGCCAAAGTCAATAAGCTATCTGCATCTTATTGTGAGGAGGAGTGGGTGCCGGCAGGGAGGGAGAGGGGGGCACAGGGTTTGTTGTTCCTATTGCAGAGAGAGCGAGTCTGCCACAGCCTCAGACCTGAGAAGATGTTGACTTTGGACTGAACTCTTGTTTGGAGCCAATTCTTGTTTTTCTGCCTGAGCCGAGACCCACTGTATTTATTCAGCCCTGTCCCAGAGGCAGAGATAGAGGCAGACTCATGCTTAGTTTCATGTAGGCTACATAACGTATAGCACTTCTGAACACATGATATGAACAGCTAATGATAAATGCGTACGGACAATTCCACGATAACAGAGTGATGCTGAGACTCAGATTTTTCACTTTAAAATGTATGCCAAAAAATGATTGCAAAGTTAAACAAAACATTAAACTCTGAGCACAAGGAGTGTGAAAAATCTGAGTCTCAGCATCACTCTGTTAACGTAGAATTGCCCATACCATTTGAGGTTCAGTCCTTTTAGAAGTGGAGCACAGTGACATAGTCTTTGGGACATGCTGCTGCGCATGAAACAGAGAAAGGCTATACTACATGGTGAATGTCATCTTTGTTCTCTACAGTAGTGGGCGCACAGAGAAATAGTTCAGAAATAGCTCACATTACAGAGGACATTTATAGGGGACCAGAAGGCTACAGATGTGAATTGTTACAATGTTCATGCCATTTAGGAGCGGATTAGAGCATTCACCATGCTGTAAAATATTATTGAGGGATTCATTTTCTATATCACAGGATTACTCCCTATACCCAGGGGAAACAGTACCAGAAAATTGGGGTTTGGTGTTTTAATTCTGAACAAAATTATATTTGAATGAGACTCATTGTGGTCTAAACGAACAGGAAATAATGTAGTTAGATATTACATTAATAATTAATTAATTAATTAATATGCCATTTAGCAGACGCTTTTATCCAAAGCGACTTACAGTCATGCGTGCATACATTTTTGTGTATGGGTGGTCCCGGGGATCGAACCCACTACCTTGGCGTTACAAGCGCTGTGCTCTACCAGCTGAGCTACAGAGGACCACCTTCATGGTGCAACGGCTGCTGGGTTGTATACTTCACACTTCTAAAGGCTAAGTCCCAAATGGCACGCTATTCCCTGTTATATATAGTGCACTACTTTTGACCGGAGCCCTACTGTTTTGGCCCTGGTGGTCAAAGTAGTGCACCATAGGGTAATAAAATAAAAATAAAATCCAATTTTATTGGTCGCGTACACATATTTTGCAGATGTTATCGCAGGTGCAGCGAAATGCTTATGTTTTTTCCAGCTCGAACAGTGCAATAATACAAATAAATACACATAAATCCAAAAAAGAAAAAGAAAGGAATTTAGAAAATATTGAGAAATATCAGAACGAGCAATGTCAGAGTCTGGAATATAAATATACATGTATATGATGGTGTGTATAGACATTATGGACAGTATATGAATAGAAAAGGTGTGTACAGTAGTAGTTATATAGGATGAGCCTTGACTAGAATACAGTATATACAGTGGGGAGAACAAGTATTTGATACACTGCCGATTTTGCAGGTTTTCCTACTTACAAAGCATGTAGAGGTCTGTAATATTTATCATAGGTACACTTCAACTGTGAGAGACGGAATCTAAAACAAAAATCCAGAAAATCACATTGTATGATTTTTAAGTAATTAATTTGCATTTTATTGCATGACATGAGTATTTGATCACCTACCAACCAGTAAGAATTCCGGCTCTCACAGACCTGTTAGTTTTTCTTTAAGCCCTCCTGTTCTCCACTCATTACCTGTATTAACTGCACCTGTTTGAACTCGTTACCTGTATAAAAGACACCTGTCCACACACTCAATCAAACAGACTCCAACCTCTCCACAATGGCCAAGACCAGAGAGCTGTGTAAGGACATCAGGGATAAAATTGTAGACCTGCACAAGGCTGGGATGGGCTACAGGACAATAGGCAAGCGGCTTGGTGAGAAGGCAACAACTGTTGGCGCAATTATTAGAAAATAGAAGAAGTTCAAGATGACGGTCAATCACCCTCAGTCTGGGGCTCCATGCAAGATCTCACCTCGTGGGGCATCAATGATCATGAGGAAGGTGAGGGATCAGCCCAGAACTACACGGCAGGACCTGATCAATGACCTGAAGAGAGCTGGGACCACAGTCTGAAAGAAAACCATTAGAAACACACTACGCCGTCATGGATTAAAATCCTGCAGCGCATGCAAGGTCCCCCTGCTCAAGCCAGCGCATGTCCAGGCCCGTCTGAAGTTTGCCAATGACCATCTGGATGATCCAGAGGAGGAATGGGAGAAGGTCATGTGGTCTGATGAGACAAAAATATAGCTTTTTGGTATAAACTCCACTCGCCGTGTTTGGAGGAAGAAGAAGGATGAGTACAACCCCAAGAACACCATCCCAACCGTGAAGCATGGAGGTGGAAACATCATTCTTTGGGGATGCTTTTCTGCAAAGGGGACAGGACGACAGCACCGTATTGAGGGGAGGATGGATGGGGCCATGTATCGCGAGATCTTGGCCAACAACCTCCTTCCCTCAATAAGAGCATTGAAGATGGGTCGTGGCTGGGTCTTCCAGCATGACAACGACCCGAAACACACAGCCAGGGCAACTAAGAAGTGGCTCCGTAAGAAGCATCTCAAGGTCCTGGAGTGGCCTAGCCAGTCTCCAGACCTGAACCCAATAGAACATCTTTGGAGGGAGCTGAAAGTCCGTTTTGCCCAGCGACAGCCCCGAAACCTGAAGGATCTGGAGAAGGTCTGTATGGAGGAGTGGGCCAAAATCCCTGCTGCAGTGTGTGCTAACCTGGTCAAGACCTACAGGAAATGTATGATCTCTGTAATTGCAAACAAAGGTTTCTGTACCAAATATTAAGTTCTGCTTTTCTGATGTCTCAAATACTTATGTCATGCAATAAAATGCAAATTAATTACTTAAAAATCATACAGTGTGATTTTCTGGATTTTTGTTTTAGATTCCGTCTCTCACAGTTGAAGTGTACCTATGATAAAAATTACAGACCTCTACATGCTTTGTAAGTATGAAAACCTGCAAAATCAGCAGTGTATCAAATACTTGTTCTCCCCACTGTACATATGAAGTGGGTAAAATAGTATGTAAAGTGACCAATGTTCAATGACTATGTGCAGGGTAGAGTACCGGGTGGTAGCCGGCTAGTAACAGTGGCTAAGTTCAGGGCAGGGTACTGAGCGGAGGCCGGCTAGTGGTGACTATTTAACAGTCTGATGGCCTGGAGATTGAAAAACAGCTTCTGTCTCTCGGTTCCAGCTTTGATGCACCTGTACTGTCTCCTCCTTCTAGATGGTAGCGGGGTGAACAGGCCGTGGCTCGGGTGGCTGAGGTACTTGATGATCTTCTTGGCCTTCCTGTGACACCGGGTGCTGTAGATGTCCTGGAGGGCAGGCAGTGTGCCCCCGGTGATGCGTTGGGCTGACAGCACCACCCTCTGGAGAGCCCTGCGGTTGCCGACGGTGCAATTGCCATACCAGGCAGTGATAAAGCCCGACAGGATGCTCGCAATGGTGCATCTGTTGAAGTTTGTGAGGGTCTTAGGGGCCAAGCCAAATTTCTTTAGCCTCCTGAGGTTGAAGAGGCACTGTTGCACCTTCTTCACCACACTGTCTGCGTGGATGGACCATTTCAAGTTGTCAGTGATGTGCACGCCGAGGCTTTTCACCCTCTCCACTATGGCCCCGTCGATGTGGATGGGGGCGTGCTCTCTCTGCTGTCACCTGGAGTCCACGATCAGCTCCTTCATTTTGTTGACGTTGCGGGAGAGGTTATTTTCCTGGCACCACTCCCCCAGGGCCACACAGTCATGGGTGAACAGGGTGTACAGGAGGGGGCTGAGCACGCACACTTGTGGGGCCCCTGTGTTGAGGATCAGCGTAGTGGAGGTGTTGTTGCCTACCTTCACCACCTGGGGTCGGTCCAGGATCCAGTTGCACAGGGTGGGGTTCAGACCTAGGGCCCCATAGCTTAGTGATGAGCTTGGAGGGCACTATGCTGTTGAAGGCTGAGCTGTAGTCGATGAACAGCATTCTCACATAGGTATTCCTCTTGTCCAGATGGGATAGGGCAGTGTGCAGTGCGATGATGATTGCGTTATCCGTGGATCTGTTGGGGCGGTATACAAATTGTAGTGGGTCTAGGGTGTCGGGTAAGGTGGAGGTGATATGTTCCTTAACTAGCCTCTCAAAGCACTTCATGATGACAGAAGTGAGTGCTACGGGGCAATAGTCATTTAGTTCAGTTACCTTTGCTTTTTTGGGTACAGGAACAATGGTGGATTGTTTGACCAGAGAGAGGGTTTCCGACATTAATGCCAAGTTGCATTGGGTGCCATTTGGGACACAGCCTGTCCCACACTATCCCATCTGCTGTTTCTGCTCCATCTTTCCCAGGAACCTCTTGTCCCATGGGTCTGGTTGTGGTTGCATCGTCCAGCTGTTTGACCAATCACAGGATGTCACACAGCTAATCATTCTAAGTCATTAGCAATGAAGTGTAATTATTCAGCACTGTCAGCAACCAATAAGACTCTCTGAGTGGACTAGCATTCTGTAGTGCAATAGAATCATTGTCCAATGGCCTCATTTGTGATATGGATCTCTAGACTGCTTACTGTTCAGGACCCATTCAGATAATTTTACATTATGCCTGGCATAGATTATAACACCTACTCTATAGTATGTCATCAGTTGTAATGCAAACATATGTGTGGGCACAGAAGGTCAGTAGAATCGATTGAACTGACCTGTAGTCCATAACCAGGACATCATATAACATCATAACCATATGATGTATAGGCCTCATTTACAGTGTGTAATATAGGTCAGGAATGCCACAGGAAGGAAGGTTCTTTGACTCACGGCCTGCAAGCAAATAAATCAAGGGGTATTATGCATCACAACTGGGAGCATATCTCTGGAATGTTTGAGATGTATTTGTGCCTGCCACTCTGGACACAGCATACATGTTCCACTGACTGGATGACACAAGGGGGAAAACATTGCATTCTTACAGCAGGCCAATGTGAACAGAGTAGTATTGTAGGATCAGAACACTCTTTGAATGGGGGGTGACTGAAGATCAAAGGGATCTGTGGGGGGGGGGGTTCACTACATTAGGAAACTGTCTTACAGAACAAGTGGCAGAGTGAATTGGGCATGAGAGTTCTGTAAGTAACATTCTGTGAATGACTGAGAACCATTATAAGCAGTATGCAAGTATCCAATAATGTCATAATTTTGTCTTAGTCAAGTACTGTGCTTTATTGTCACATATTAGAGTAGCTAAATAAGAGAGCACCTTTTTTATGAAGGAACGTGAGTGTGTTTGATAAGAGATATTGTGAAAAGCAGGGGACCGTTGTATCCCATTTATGACGGACAACTTAATCCAGCCTTGCCAAAACGATTCCAGGTGCTGTACTTTCTGAAATTGCTGTTGTTTCAAGTTTTAATGTAATGTGCACAAGTACAGTGAAATGCCTTTCTTGCAAGCTCTAAACCTAACAGTGCAGTCATCAATAACAATGTAATACTAAAAATAACATAAGGTGGAATGATAAAGTGCCTTGTTGAATGATAAAGTGCCCCGTTAGCAACTTGGCATTAATGTCAGGAATCTCTGGTCAAATGTATTTCTAATTCTAGATCAGATTCAGGGGCAAACTGTACTCTGTTTTAAAGAGCTCGTTCATGTTCCCTCTCCCTAGGTGTGTGCAAAAGGATATTTCCTCAGTAACCAGAAAAAATGCCTACCATGTAACTGCAAAGCCCATTCAGAAACGTGTGAAGATATCACAGGTGTTTGTATAGTAAGTATTACATCCATCCCCTTTATTAATACTTATTATAAACTGGGTGGTTCGAGCCCTGAATACTGATTGGCTGACAACCATGGTATATTAGACCGTATACCATGGGTATGACAAAACATTTTTTTGTACTGCTCTAATTACGTTGGTAACCAGTTTATAATAGCAATAAGGCACCTTGGGAGTTTGTGGTATATAGCCAATATACCATGGCTAAGGGCTGTATCCAGGCACTCCGCGTTGCATCGTGCAAAGAAAGCCCTTAGCCGTGGTATATTGGCCATATACCACACCCCCTCGTGCTTTATTGCTTAATTACACCATGGGGACTACTTCTAGTCTCTAGATTACCATCTACTATCATATCAGTAATAGATTTAAACTATATTTCACTCTTTACCATGCAGTCATGTCAGGACCACACCACTGGGGATTTCTGTGAAATATGTGAGGATGGATACATGCCTGACGTCTCCACATATGGACGACACTCCTGCCGGCCGTGCGCCTGTCCCCTCTCTAGCCCCTCCAACAAGTAAGCTATAGCATCCGTCCATCCAGACCCTACTGTTGTGCAGGCCATGCAGGGAGAGGCCTGTGTGTTGGTGGGCAGAGCTCACTAACTGACATTCTTTCCGCTATGTGTCCGGCCAGCTTCGCAGAGCATTGTGACAGAAGCAGTAACATCCTACGATGCAAGTGCCTAGAGGGCTATGCTGGACATTACTGTGAGAGGTCAGTGCTGACACAACCTTGGCCAACACCATGAGTTAACTTCACCATGGGAGCAATTACACTCATTATCCTAAATCAGCTCATATAGACACAAATAAAGCTCTTACAATTTCACTATTTTATTTTTTTCCGGACAGATTATCAACCTGAACAGTAAATATTTAGAAATGCTTTCATATAACAATGATGTTTAAGGGTAAGTGATAAGTAATTCTAAGTCAAACAATCATTGGCAATCACCTTCCATCTTCCTCACCCAGATGTGCTCCAGGTTTCTACGGCAACCCCATGGTGATCGGTGACTCCTGTAAGAGTTGTGACTGTAACGGTAACTCAGACCCCAACCACATCTTCAATGAGTGCCACAACGTGACCGGCTTCTGTCAGAATTGCTGGGGGGACACGGCCGGAGCCAACTGTGAACGGTGTGCCCCGGGTTTCTACGGCGACGCCATCAGTGCCAAGAACTGCAGAGGTGCTTGCCAAGAGTACTTTTAGACATTACTTATGCTACTGAGGCCCTTTGCTCCAATAGGAGCTAAAAGGAATAAGTCCGGTCAACTCTTCTGTCAATGCAGACTACCCATGTAAAAACATCCAAGGGAAAAATAGATATTCATATGATGTCTGACAATGATCCCCACTTGTTTGGATAGTGAAGCTATATCCAGTCAATTGCCATGCTCAATTCTGGATTTGAACGCTGCTTTGACGTTGCTCTTGGGGTTAAGGACTTACTATGGATTTGTCTTCAATAGAGCTCTAACAATTTCCCCTTGTTTTGCTCATATAGACATAAGTCAATCACAAGGCTCTATCTGAAACGAAATACGGGAAGGTCTATTTTGTATGTTTACACAGTTGGGCAGGCTGGGTAGTGAGAATTCCTGCCTCTGAGACAGTACAGTACAACACAGACAACCATGGCCTGTGTATTATCTTACGCCATGTGCACATCAGTGTAAGAATAGAGTCATGGAAAAGTGGTGCATGTTTACCAAATATGAACTTGTAGTTGCTGTCTGTATGAGATAAGTCCAGCTCTAGCTCACTTGTAGAAAACTATGAAGAATACAACTGTAGAAATGGGAAAAATCCCAGTCTACATCACAATCTATTGCATGATTTTCATTTGTATTTTAGGGCTTTGCTTGGACAGAAATAACCTTTTTCATTGTGGCAATGTCATGATTATTTGACCCGTGCTGTATTAGCTATGAGTGCGTCCTGTGTTACAGCGTGCGAGTGCAGTAAGTGTGGAACAGCTTCGTGTGATGACAGGACAGGGACGTGTCACTGTAAGCCTGGTGTCACCGGCCAACTCTGTGACCAATGTGAGGTGAGATGCTCAAGGGCCTTATCAAGGAGCCAGCCTTACAACCATGTGGTCACACAATCACACTGTTGGACAGCTTTTCATGAGAACAGATATGCTCAGTAAAGCAGACAATAAGAAGAAAGCAGACAAAATCATTCAGGCTACTGTGAATAACAACAACAACAACAACCAAATGTCTAACATACTGTATGTCCATTGTGTGCTTTAGGAGGGCCACACAGGTTTCAATAACTGTCAGGGCTGCCAGAGGTGTGACTGTGGACCTGCCGGTCTCCGGCCCACCTGTCATCCTCTGACCCACAGCTGCCTGTGCCAACCAGGGGCCGGAGGCCGATACTGCGAGCGTTGCCTCCCAGACCACTGGAACTACGGCCCCTCAGGGTGTCAAAGTAAGTACCGTGTCTGTCTAATCTTGCTAACCACCCAGACCAGTTGGTCAAATTAAGAACAGATAACGTTTTTCTGTAGCTAGCAAGCCAGTCCACCATTCCCACACCCACTCATATATGATGTCAGGGAGGCATCTGCTGTGATCTGCAACCCCAGGACCATCTGTACGCATCTGCACACGGCCACAGGCACTGACTGCATCTAGCAGCCGACTTTCCTCTGACATCACCGCCCGCCTAGTCCTCATTTATCTGCTGAGCTGCCAGAACCATCAATCCATCCTACAGCCACAATATAGAGAACCAGGGAACCGCACTGCAGATGTACAGCAGCACTCCTCCCAAGTCAAAAGACCCACCATAGGTTCCATTATATATTTGGTATTTGTACTAAGACTGACTCTCCTATGTCCGGCTGATAAAGCATTCAACTCGATAAATAGAACTAGACATGTAATCAACTGTAGCTATATGAAGTGCATGAGTGTGTGTCTGTTTCTTCACTCCAGAATGTGACTGTGCTAGCAGCCACTGTGACATGCACACTGGGGAGTGTCTCCCTGAAGCCGCCACGATCAATCTCTGCAACATCAGTAAGTGGGTCTGGTTAGAAATCAAAATGAATGTTTCAGTTAATCTTAAACAACCCTTTGTGTTGGATTTTAGCATGATGTGATGTTGGGGAAATTACACACAAATAATTTGCGTCATCATTTGGCTCCTCCCTCCCATCAGGTTGTGATGAGTGTATCTGGCACCTGATTGGTGACCTGAGGTTGTCCAATAAGACGCTGGACCAGATGAGGGTCAGTGTGTTGAACATCTCCACTGGGGCTGCAGCCAACGACAGGCTCAAGTACTACAACTACACTGCCCAACGTCTGCAGGTACAGTACAACCTCTCTTTCTGCTCACGCTGATATAGTTGGGACTCAAGATGTTTATACACACCTATATTATCAGTTCATTCTGATTTAAACAAGATAAATAAGCAGCTTAACTACCTTTTTCTACGACAAAGTCTGACAAAGGATATTGGCAAATATCATACACCAACCAACCAACCAAAAAAACAACTAACCAACCAATACAACAACCATTGTACTGTGCGAATCACACAATTTTCTTCTCTCAATCCTAACATGCATTTACTGTATTGTAATAGTATTGTGTAAGTGTATCCCATTACCCCTATGTTTCGTTTCCAGACTCGGTTTGTGAACTGGAGGAATAAGTCAGCTCTGATGAGGACCCAGACTGGGCAGCTGGAGGGGGCCAGTGCTGCTCTACTCTTAGACATCAACCATCTGGCAGAGACGGTAAGAGGACACCTTCATCACTCATCTAACTCACTCACACTCCTCTTCCTCCCTCCTTTCACATTTCTCTGGAGGTTAAATAAAGTCCAAATACAAAAACCAACATATAGTTCATTCATACTAACTCAAAAAAAAATATTGCATGCTTCGTAAACAACCGGTGTAGACTAACAGTGAAATGCTTACAGGTTCTTCCCAACAATGCAGAGAGAAAAAAATTGAAATAATAGAAAAATATAAAAAATAATAACATGAGGAATAAAAACACAATGAGTACAATAACTTGGCTATATACAGGAAGTACCAGTACTGAGTCAAGAGTGCAAAAAGGGTCAATGCAGATTGTCCAGGTAGCTATTTGGTTAACTATTTAGCAGTCTTATGGCTTGGGGGTAGAAGCTGTTGGTTCCAGACTTGGTGCATCCAGAACCAAATCTCCCACTACTCGATTTAGCATTTTAATGTTAACGTCTGTCACGAGAGACTATGGTTATACAGTTCAGTTAGCTTACCTCTCAGAGCCATCAAATCTGTTTTAGTTGAGCTTGTAGTGGTAGTGTCCAGAATGTGTCATTGATTTTTGTGTTCTGTGGTCTTAACTATGTCATTGATCTGTGTGGTGTTTGCTGTGGGCCAGGAGAGTGCAGTGAAGTTCTTGGGGGAAAGAGTGGATGAAGACACAATAGAGAGTGTCACTCTGGCTGACGAGCTGACCACTAACCTCACCACCCTCAACGTGCTGATTGAAGGTATTGTTAAGCCTGCTAAAGATACACTACTATGCCTCTTTGAGTACCGTACACCTCCCCCATTATTCATAATGCTTCTAGGTATAAATATTGATATATGATATCCAATTACTTTTTAATCTCGCCTTGCCTTAAGATTTAAATCCAAATCACCTTTGCTGTATTTCCTACTGTCATCCATTTATCAGCCCTTGTTTATGAGGGTGCTTTTGGTAGTGGAGCTTCAGTCATATCCCAGAGCCATATCCCAGCCTTCCTTCACCCTGCGCTCTGTGTCGTGTTTGTGTCTCATAGAGATGATCAGTGACTGGGAGCTGTACAGTGTCCATCAGGACCTGGACCCAGAGATCATCAGACAGAAGACAGCTATGGCCGAGGGCATGGTGGCCTGGATGAAGAAACTGGACCTTTCTCCACGAGAGCCCATTGCCACCGATGAGTCCACCGAGGCCCACGACCGTGAGAAAAAACGCACACACTCACACACAGACACATCTACACAAAGAAACACACATGCTATAGACACGTTATAATGGAGAGGTAGAGACAAGCTTTGTGGTCCTGTGTATTTACAAATGTGTGTGTTGTCCAGTCCTTAGACGCATGCGTCAACTGGATAAGAACCTGATCAGTACGGACAGCCGCGTGGCCCCGGTACGGGAGGTGCTCTCCCGCTTCACCAACAAGCTCTCTGAGGCCCAGGAGATCCTCCAGAAGGCTGCCAACACTGTCCAGGAGACTGAGGACATGAACAAAGCCAACACCGTCAAATTCCAGAGGAGTGAGGTAACTTCCCACGACACTGGGGTCAGCTTGGCCCAGAGCGTGCCGCCTGGAGCCTCTCCTCCTGCCTCCCCAAATGCCCCTAGCCGACTCCCAGACTCCCTGACTGCCAGCCTCTCTGACTGCCTGGCCCTCTGACTCTCTGGCTGACTGACTTTATACTTCCCCTACTGCTTGCCTGACTCCCTGGCTCTCTGCTTGTCTGACTCCCTGGCTCTCTGCTTGTCTGACTCCCTGGCTCTCTGCTTGTCTGACTCCCTGGCTCTCTGCTTGTCTGACTCCCTGGCTCACTGCTTGCCTGACTCCCTGGCTCTCTGTGTTTGTCAGCATGGTTTCATTACCACAGCTCACTCTGATAGCGCCCTGCTAAAGAGATCAGTGCCGTCTGCCTTTATCTTCCCTCTGAATGTTGCAGGAGTTCAGCTTGACTTTATCACTGGAAAACAACTGTCCTGCTCCTGCAAAGGAATAGACCAGATATTCTCTCTCTGCCATACAGTATGTGGATTGTAGTTGTTCCCAAAGCCTGCCTGAGAACTCAATTACCCATGGTATTTAGTAGTAGAGAACAGTAAAACAGAAACAGCTGTTAGGGATTGTTAGGAGGCACAAAGTGTGGGGTAGATACATTGCTGCACAACACAATCATAACCCCATAGCCCATTTTAAGAGGATATGCCCCTTAGAGTTGAATACCCACAGCTGCTTGTCATTTAATGGGTTATCATGTGTACAGTAATTTTGTACAGCTCCTTAACGTTTCCTCAGTCTGAGGCTGTCACGATCTTTGACTGATGAAGAGACGGACCAAGGCGCAGCGTGATAAGCGTACATTCTTTATTTAGTACACACACGAACCAAAACAACAAACGAAACGATACGTGAAGTCCTAGGTTATACACAAAAACCTTACAGAACAAGATCCCACAAAGTAACATGCCAACAGGCTGCCTAAGTATGGTCCTCAATCAGAGACAACGAGCTACAGCTGTCTCTGATTGGGAACCACCCTGGCCAACATAGATATAAACGATCTAGAACAAAAGCATAGAAAATGTAACAGAAACTCCACACCCTGGCTCAACATTTAAGAGTCCCCCGAGCCAGGGCGTGACAGAGGCATGAGGCTAGTTAGACAACTGAAAGATTTTCCATAAAGTTTATAGATCCCAAATACAATACAACAGGCCTATTGTTCCTATTCATTATGGTGTGAAATCCTGAGGGATTGCGATTCTAATTTAACACACAAACTGGCCCTGTTGTCATGCCCAAATTGACATTATGGGCCCATTGTGGTTGTGCTGCAGTGGAGCCTGGAGCTAGGCGCAACCAGCTGCTGCAGTGAAGGCTGGAGCTAGGAGCAACCAGCTGCTGCAGTGAAGGCTGGAGCTAGCTGAAAATCAATTCCATGAATGGTGTACTGTCCAAACAGGAGGCCTACCATAATCTGTGGCTCTTTCTTTCCACAGCAGATTAGTCAACATGAGTCATGGCAAGAGAAACACAGCCAGGGTTACTATGGGGGAAAGAGAGTGTTTACTGTACCATACTCATAACTGCTGTCAACACATCTCTCTCTTGCCTCTTTAGGGCAAAACACAAGTTGTTAAAGGGAGTGCTATAAATTAAATGTTGATGTTCTGCATCAATTAGGCTTGCAGCTTTCATTTGACATTTGAAAGTATTCTACTTATGATGTATGTACTTTTATGATATGGGAGAGATACATAACCTGTACTCTCTACACAATGTATATTCTCGGTACTATAAACAGAAATATATGACTGAACATCAGGCTAGCATACAGTACTCAGAGTATTCACTAATCCTGTCCACTCTCTCTCCCAGGCCAAGCAGCAGGAGCTGATAGAGAACTACAAAGCTGTGAATGACACCTTGCAGATGGCTAAAGACCTTATAGTGGACACTGAAAATACTGTGGCCGAGATGGATCTCCTTGTGCAGGTAAGGCCTGTTCTCGGCCTGTACACTCTTAGGAAAAAGGCTTCCAAAAGGGTGTTTTGGGTGTCCCCATAGGAGAACCCTTTTTGGTTCCATGTAGAATCCTCTGTGGAAATGGTTCTACATGGAACCCAAAAGTATTCTACCTGGAACCAAAACAGTTCTACTTGGAACCAAAAAGGGTTCTTCAAAGGGTTATCCTATGAGGACAGCCGGAGAACCCTTTCAGGTTCTAGAGAGCTCTTTTCTTCCAAGACTGTACACACCATAGTCACTATTAACCTGCTATGCCTGAAAGCTTTGTGTTTTGGACCCCCTCAATGAGGTCATCATGTAATTATGATGGATTGCAACGTTTCAGTTCATGTGTTGAATATGGCCTGACAGGGAGAGTCCCATGTACTGGTCCATGCACTTAAGAGTATGAATCCATAACTAATTTAACAGACAGCCAAAATGAGAGACTTATTTTTTGAATGGCTTTGGATCTAAAAAGCCATTGCGTCTTTGAACAATTCCCATTTAAGTCAATTGCCTCTCTATTGGGTTACTCAGTGGGGAAATAGAATAATTCAGAGGTAACATTGTCAGTTAAGTCCTGGAATGGGGTCTGTGTCTGTGTAGAACGTGACTGAGTACCACGCTGCGATCGATGGCGCAAGCAAGCGGCTGCAGGAGAAGACTGAGGCGCTGTCCCTGGCAGACAGAGACCTGGTCCAAAGAGCCCAGGACCACGCAGAGGACCTCCAGAGTCAAGCGGATGAGCTGGAGTAGTGAGTAGTAGTGATGTTACATAGTAGTGATCTCATCACGGCATCACTCTAAACAATACACTATCCTCCTTAGTCCATTATAAATGCACATCACATTGTAGAACCAACCAACTACTAAACACGACTACACTTGAATATCCTGTACTCCATTATAATGGACACCACATTCAAGAAACAAAACCACCACTGAACATGTTTATCCAACACTGATCAACACTCAGTCACACATTACTTGAAGCACAAATGAAAGGCCACCCTTTAATGTACAGTAGTGGTACCAGTTAAAAGTAGGCCTTATCCTCAATGCTTTACAAATATTCTAACCAGACACTGATTTTGTTGTATGTTTCTTTTCACCTAGTAATCTGAAACGAAGTGATGCCAATGGATTCGTGCAGAAGGCTCTGGATGCAGCCAATGTGTACAACAACATAGTCCAGTATATCGAAGTGGCCAACATCACTGGACTGACAACAATGGATTTAGCAACAAGAGCTGAGGATGTAGGTTGTCTGAAATGCGCAATTAGCTACATATCATATATTTAGGCTAGTGTACAGTGATTTTCACTTGATAACCTAAAACTGTGCTGTCTATGGCAGGCCAGCACTGGGATCAACACCCAGCTGGGGTTTCTGAAGACCCAGAGTGACAACATCTTCAAGGAATCTGTTTCATTGCGCTCTGAGCAATTCGGTATGACACATTTTCTGGTTCAGCATTGTTTGATTACTGTTAGAGACTAGCTTGTACAGGTTCTCCTCAATGATGATGCATGTGTGAATTATCTTCACAGAGGTTGAAGCTGAGGTTCTGGACAAGATTAAATACATTGAGGAGACCAAGGAGACCATGGAGGACAACACCAAAAAACTAGCTGTAGTACTGAAAGATATCAAGGGAATTGAGCCAGGTAAAACACATTCTTTTTCTGGCCCATAGCCTATCTAGGGTCTCTGACATACACGTCATTGTATTCACCACCCTTCCAAGGTTTCTCTCCTCATCTCTGTAGTAAAAAAAAAATTCTGAATTCCACTCTGACCTTCCAGACAGAACCACCAAGCGTCTGGAGCTCACCAAGGAGGTTGCTGAAGGCACCCTGAACCGCTCAGTGGAGGTCCTGCAGACCATCACCCCCATCCACGAGAAGGTAGAGGAGTGGGCCATCAACATGAAGAACCAAGATTACTCTGCTGCAGCCTTCGACCGCGCTGTAGTCTCCGCTGGGGAAGCAGGTACAGTACACTCATTCAGACCGCAGCATTTCAATCCTCAACAGAGAAGACTTAATGACCAAGCATTACACTCAAACTAGCAAGTGTAAAACTGAACAGAGATTCTCCGAAAAAATCCCAAAGGAAGGATAGAGAGAATTGATGGATATTCTAACATGTTAGTCCACATGACTAGAGTTGTAGTCACAGAGATATACTGTATCTCTATGGTTGTAGTGGCTTAATAGAAAAAAGTGGTTGGAATATTGTTGTAAATCTATGATGGTGTTTTTAGTGGAGAACCTGTCTGAGCTGGTCCCTGAGCTGCTGGATAAGCTGCGTGTGGTGGAGGAGAAGAACCCAGTGAACAATGTGACCACGAACATCATGAGGATCAGAGAGCTCATCGCCCAGGCCAGGAGTGTGGCCAAGAAGGTCAATATTTTCACCTTAACAATCACTATATCACAACCGAAATGTACTTTCAACCACCTTTGATGAGCAAAATCCTTTATAGTCTCATGTTACTATAATCCCAAGTCTTGTTCATAATCAAGCTCGTATGACACAGATATATCATGTTTTGTTACACCATAGGTCCAAGTGTCCATGAAGTTCAACGGTCAGTCGTCGGTTCAGGTGCAGCCCCACACCAACCTGAAGGACCTGAAGACAGTGACCACCATCAGCCTGTTCATCAGGGTGGACCCAGATAAGGACCCTATCGAGGACCGCTTCATCTTCTATCTGGGAGACAGAAACGTGAGGAGGCTCGGGGGAGAGGGGGGACAGGGAATAGGGGGCGGGGATGGTGCTGGGTTCAGCAGCTTGGCTCTTCTCTAAAGCAGATATGTTTGTCCTGTATAGCCAACTCCATGGGAGTTAGCCATACAGCATAAACACATCTGGGATCAGGATAGCAGCATACACCACAACAGCCCCTGTGTCGGACTGAGGCATTGTTCTGTTGTGTGCAAGAAGTGGGTGGGTGGGAGGAAAGGGGTGCAGAATGGCCCAGATCTGCTATTGAAACTTCCCAGACTTGGACCCTGAGGACAGCCTGAGATAAAAGGGAGAGGAGCTTGTGTGCAGATGAATGGTTTGTTGTCATCATGTGAGCAGGAGAGGCCTTTGAGAGCAGACGGTTGCCTTTTTCGAAAGGTTTCCAGGAAACCCCTGTTGACAATAGTGTGTGCCACTGCCTCCAAAGTCGGGGATCCTTTACATGAATGGCATTACCCCCCACCCACAGGGGCTTAATGACAGCAGGGCAGATCACTCCTCTCTGGGCCTCTCTGTTCTCTTTAACGATGCTGCTTACCCTGGTGATTCTGCCACTGCTGTAAATGATGCAGTGGTGTTGCTTAGTGACCATTCGTTGGTTTTATAAAAACAAAGATTTGGACGCTTTGCTTTTCCTGAAAAAGAGTGCAGGCAGGGATTCCATATTACAGTACATGCATTATATGTTGTCTAAAACCTGTAACCTTGGTATCTGTGCTATATATCAAATAGGGTAGGAAGGACTACATGGGTCTGGCAATCAAGAATGACAACCTGGTGTACGTCTACAACCTGGGAGGGGAAGATGTCGAGATCTCACTTGGTTCGAAGCCTGTCAGCCAATGGCCTCCAGTCTTTAACCTCATCAAAGTGGAGAGGTACAGTAGAGTATTTCCTAAGAAACAGATCCACACAGATAGACTATCATATTCTGGTAGCAGATCAGTTAATGCTTATTAGACAATAGTTTTGTCGTGTCTGCTGTCATGCCATACATGTATGCCATCATGACTGACAACCAATGATAAAGGACATACAGCACAGATCTGCGACCAGGCTAAAGGTCGTCCATCCATTCACACGGTCAGTACATCTGTCTAGTCTAACCACTCACAGGGAGCTAGGAGGCTGATCTGCCCATGCAGGAGGTAATGGTGTTGATGTGACTGATTATTCACGCTGCTTTGTGTCTCTGTTTTGACAGGCTGGGCAGACATGGCAAAGTGTTCCTGACCGTACCCAGTCAGACATCCACTGACGAGCAGAAATTCATTCAGAAGGGAGAAGCCTTTGGCACCGACTCCCTGTTCGATCTGGACCCTGAAGACACTGTCTTCTTCATGGGTGGCGTCCCCGCTGATGTCAGGGTACAGCATTACTTTCTAACAGGATATGACATCAGTCTCTGGTCAGAGTTCTGTGGCATTGGCTAATGCATAGCAGACCGTTGTATCATACAGTGTTGATGTAACCTGTACTTCACTCATGAACCATTGACACAGCAGGATTGAATCTGTATTGCAATGATTCTGTATTTACTCTTCCCTTCCAAGATAAGATTCTGAATGTTGTTCATTTGGTTTTCTTGTAGCTTCCACCTGCACTCAGCCTAGCTCCTTTCGTGGGCTGCATCGAGTTGGCCTCTTTGAATAACGATGTCATCAGTCTGTACAATTTCAAACAGACCCACAAGATGGATGTAGTTGCTTCAACACCTTGTCCCAGGTATGATATACCACATCTTGTCCAGACATTTTTGTTGGGAACTTTAGATATTACCTCTGCCTTTAAATAATCTACATCTGAGGCTTGTTCAGACAAGTCACTTAATGTTGACTTAAATCTAACATTGTTTTCTTTGCCTTATCAGGTATAAGCTGGCATTCTCACAAAGTCGTATCGCCAGCTACCTGTTTGACGGAACTGGATATGCCCTCATCAACAACATGGAGAGGAGGGGTAAATTTGGCATTGTCACCCGGTTTGACATTGCTGTTCGGACAGTAGCAAACAACGGCATCCTGTTACTCATGGTCAATGGGGTAAATATAGCAACAGAAATGTCACCTTTATATTTGAACAAGCAACACAGTCAGTGATGCAATGCTATGACTTGCAATGCTTCAGAGAGCATAGAGATTTACCAATCATTTATCTTCATCATGTAACTGGGATGAATTACAAAAAAATGGTTCAATCCTTCTTTCCAGGACAACGTCTTCCTGTTAGAGTTGAAGAATGGCTTCCTACGTCTCATGTATGACTTTGGCTTCAGTGGAGGCCCAATCGTCATGGAGAGTAACTCACCCAAACTACAGATCAATGACGCAAGATACCATGAGGTAAATATAAATCAGCCCATTCTCTTTGTGTCTGCAAGGGTGTGCCTTCTACAACTGTGAGATGTGAATAAAATAAATGTCCTCTCAACAGTAATCTAATCTACGCAGTTTTTTTTTTAATAGGTGTCAGTGATCTATCATTACTCCAAGAAGATCATTCTATTGGTGGACAAGAGTCACGTGAAGTCCATGGAGAACGAGAAAAAAACTCTGCCCTTCTCCGATATCTACATAGGAGGAGCCCCCTCGCGCATTCTCCTCTCCAGGTGAGTTATCCAACCAACACCACACACATGCACTTCCTCACACCAATCCAAGGACCTTGAGAGAGGTATAACCTTGAAAGAATAGTTTACAATGGTAACACAATATCAACAGATTATAACATTGGCATTAGACTGAGTACAGCTATGCCCTATGAAACTATGAGACTGAGACCATGAGCCCATTCCCTCTCCTCCAGGCCTGATATGTCCTCCCTGGTGGGGCTGAAGGGGTGTGTGAAGGGCTTCCAGTTCCAGAAGAAAGACTTTAACCTCCTGGAAGAACCTGGCACTATTGGCATCAGCAGCGGTTGTCCTGAGGAGTCTTTTGTATGTACTGTAGTCCAAATGAAATTCTAAGCATATACAGTACAGAATCCACTGAAATACAATAATTGGCAATGTCCCTGTTGTGTCTTGATTTGTAACAGATGTCCCGTAAAGCCTACTTCACTGGAGAGAGCTACCTGGGGTCTGCGGCAAAGATATCTCCTTTTGACGCCTTCGAGGGAGGCCTTAACTTCAGAACACTGCAGCCTACTGGTCTCATGTTCTACCACAGCGAAGGGGTATACTGATGTATTCTTAAATCAAGAATGCTCTCTTTTTTTTATATGAGTTCCAAAAGGAACTACAAAGGAAATACAACTGTTATAAACTCTCCTCTGTCTTTCTCCTTCAGTCTGATGAGTTTACCATCTCCCTTGAGAATGGAGCAGTGGTATTGAACTCCAGAGGCACCAGGGTCAAATCACAGAAGAAGCAGTACAATGATGGAGTGACCCATTTCCTGGTAGCTTCAGTGAATAATGACAAGTAAGAATCCAATGTATGGCTCCCAAGTACCATGTGCTTTTATAGATTGCCCTGCTGTTAAGGCATTTTGAGATTTCTTCATATTTTAAAGGTTTCTTTAAATATAGAATAGGCTATCATTATTCATTGCAACAATTGCCTTATTAACCATCTAATTCTATCCTAGATATGAGCTGGTGGTGGATGACAAAGACAAGCATGAGAAGAAACGTCCGACTACTGCCCCCTCAGCCTCCACAGTGAAGAACTTCTACTTCGGAGGCTCTCCCAGCAGCAGCATGAAGAACTTCACTGGCTGCATCAGCTATGCCTACATCAGCAGGTCACACTCTCTCACTGCCACAGCACTCAGACCATATTAGAAATACATAGACAGGATTGTAGGAAGTGGCCCCATAGCCTAATGCATTTGATGTAACGGATTGTAATGGATTGCATCTATATAGAGAAGTCACTAAAGTCATTTTATGGGGGAGCTGACCTCATCCACCGCCAGTGGATGCTGAATGTGTTTCTGTAAAGAGTATTTTCTTAGCGAGTGAACAAGTCCAAGTTTGCACACTGTTAGTAAGCCTGTTTCCTTTCTCCAGGGACTGCTGTTATGAGAGCATGCTAAATGGTCATTTGGCTCAGGTTGGTTGGTGAAAACCTAGCTGCCTAGCTTTATCTATGAGAGGAGGAAAGCCAGGCTCACAAATAGAGCTGCTGTTGAGAGCTGAGTGGGAGGACAAGGAGTTTGTTTCCATGGAGACAGAGTTCTGTGTGTGTGAGTATCTCTATGGCTCTTATGTCTTTGGCACTAAGTTGCTAGTCTCTCTCCCTTCAGACAAGACAGAGACATTGAGCCAGAGGACTTTCAGAAGTACACTGAGAATGTCCAGACCTCTCTGCAAGACTGCCCTGTGAAGCGACCGCCCGCTGCCCTGCTCTCAAAGCAAAGCAAGGACTCTGCCAAACCCAAGCCGGGCCATACAAGGAAGGTATAAAGACATACATTAATTTCCATACATGTCAATGAACCCAGTTTGCTACGAAATGTCTATTTTCATTTTTATTCATGCCCGTCTTGGTATAATCAATGCAGAAGGAGTACATAATTCATCAGTGAATATTGAACTAGAGGCATGCATGTATTGACCCACTACTAAGTCAAGTAACTTCCTTTGTCTCTCAAAGGTGGGCAGAGATAAGTCCAACCTCCCACAAGGCCTGTTGGGACTGAAGAGTGATGACCAGGAGCCAGGAGAGACAGAGGAGACGCCCTGCTACCTGTCCCCCAGGCCCCGTGCCACCCGCCACGCCTACCACTACGGGGGCACTGCCAACAGTAGGCAGGAGTTCACAGACATCCCAGGGTCCCTCTCTGAGAGGTAAGGCCGGGGCTGGGAAGAACACTGTGGGTACATAGGTTGACCAGAAGTCAACCAAAAGGTAAATCCTGAACATGAACTCCACTTTGGTTTCTTGGTCTAAGTACTAGTCACATGCTCTCTGGTCTAAGTACTAGTCCTTGTGCACCTTCCTCCACCAGGTCTCACTTCTCCCTGTCCCTGAAGACCCAGTCCTCCTTTGGCATAATCTTTTATGCATCAGATGAGGCGGAGGACAACTTTATGGCTCTCTTCCTGGCCCATGGCAAGCTGGTGTACACATTCAACCTGGGTCAGCAGAGGGTCAAGATCAAGAGCCTGGAGAAGTACAACGATGGAGCATGGCACAATGTAAGTAAATGTACTTATTCCCCATTATCCATACTAAAATATATCACTTTTACCTCTGACATCAGTCACAAATACAGTATACCAGACCTGGGATATCTATAGTTTTAACTATGCCTTATAAAACATTTAATTTTAAAAAACGGGGGGGAAATAGTTACTTTCGAGGTGACTACAACTATTTGAATACAGATCCCAAAAAATGACTATCTCAGAAGGTAACTACTTTTGTAAACTATTTGAATACAGATCTGTGCACCTCTACTTTTCTTTTACCAGACAATTATCATAATCCATTAGATAATTTGTAAATGTTCACTTATTTTTTAGCTAGTCTGTATAAAAAAAATATATACTGTATATGACCATTTCATAAATGGTATAATTGCGTGCTATTAAAGCATTTTGCAAACCCGCTCCCCCCGTCAGCCCACTGCTTTAATTGGTGTAATGTTAGCTAAAAACCACAAGTGTCTATCCAGATAATGAAAAGGCACCCACGAAAGAAAAATCAAGGAACTTATATTTACATTATATTTGCGTCGTGCATGATCATGAGCAAAATCATTGTAGCCGATCATTTCACTTCCCTTGTGAGAACCATGAGCACGGGCTGACTTGGCTTTGCTGTACCGCAGCAGAAGCCTGCCAGCAGCCTACCTACCAAAGGTTGCACCATGTCCATTACAATGTAGAAAGACACATATCAGCTATCTTTCAATAGTTATCCATATTACCGGAGCTTCATCTTATTCTTTCTAACTATTTCTATGGTGGATTCGCAAACGCAATTTAATGAAAATGCCAAAACTTTGGAGATAACAATAGATGGTGAAGTCAGAGATAGGCCAGTGGTGTCCATCTGTGGTGAAGTTTTCCCTAAATCAATGCTTATGACAAATCCAGCGTGAGAACAAGCCACAGAGCCAGCTGGATAATCTTTTGAATATGGCGTAGCAACAACAAATAATATTAGCTAGCTAGTTAAGGTTAGCAAGATAGCTAGCTACACTGACAGCTGTCAGTGCCCTATTTGTTGATGTTTTATCAACCCCACGTGGATATTCCCCACACCCAGTGTGTGAATATATATAAGTTGCCTTCGTCATTCTTTGGAGGTGGAACCTAAACGTGCATTTCATCTCTAGGACAGGAAATGACGTCGAAATAGTGGTGGTAACTTCCTCTGGGGGGGGGGGGGGTCTTTTAACACCTACAGTGAGGGGAAAAAAGTATTTGATCCCCTGCGGATTTTGTATGTTTGCCCACTGACAAAGACATCAGTCTATAATTTTAATGGTAGGTTTATTTGAACAGTGAGAGACAGAATAACAACAAAGAAATCCAGAAAAACGCATGTCAAAAATGTTATAAATTGATTTGCATTTTAATGAGGGAAATAAGTATTTGACCCCTCTGCAAAACATGCCTTAGTACTTGGTGGCAAAACCCTTGTTGGCAATCACAGAGGTCAGACGTTTCTTGTAGTTGGCCACCAGGTTTACACACATCTCAGGAGGGATTTTGTTCCACTCCTCTTTGCAGATCTTCTCCAAGTCATTAAGGTTTCGAGGCTGACGTTTGACAACTCGAACCTTCAGCTCTCTCCACAGATTTTCTATGGGATTAAGGTCTGGAGACTGGCTTGGCCACTCCAGGACCTTAATGTGCTTCTTCTTGAGCCACTCCTTTGTTGCCTTGGCCGTGTGTTTTGGGTCATTATCATGCTGGAATACCCATCCACGACCCATTTTCAATGCCCTGGCTGAGGGAAGGAGGTTCTCACCCAAGATTTGATGGTACATGGCCCCGTCCATCATCCCTTTGATGTGGTGAAGTTGTCTTGTCCCCTTAGCAGAAAAACACCCCCAAAGCATAATGTTTCCACCTCCATGTTTGACGGTGGGGATAGTGTTCTTGGGGTCATAGGCAGCATTCCTCCTACTCCAAACACGGCGAGTTGAGTTGATGCCAAAGAGCTCCATTTTGGTCTCATCTGACCACAACACTTTCACCCAGTTCTCCTCTGAATCATTCAGATGTTCATTGGCAAACTTCAGACGGCCATGTATACAGTGGGGAGAACAAGTATTTGATACACTGCCGATTTTGCAGGTTTTCCTACTTACAAAGCATGTAGAGGTCTGTAATTTTTATCATAGGTACACTTCAACTGTGAGAGACGGAAACAATCCAGAAAATCCAGAAAATCACAAATCCAGAAAATCACATTGTATGATTTTTAAGTAATTAATTTGCATTTTTATTGCATGACATAAGTATTTGATACATCAGAAAAGCAGAACTTAATATTTGGTACAGAAACCTTTGTTTGCAATTACAGAGATCATACGTTTCCTGTAGGTCTTGAACAGGTTTGCACACACTGCAGCAGGGATTTTGGCCCACTCCTCCATACAGACCTTCTCCAGATCCTTCAGGTTTCGGGGCTGTCGCTGGGCAAAACTGACTTTCAGCTCCCTCCAAAGATGTTCTATTGGGTTCAGGTCTGGAGACTGGCTAGGCCACTCCAGGACCTTGAGATGCTTCTTACGGAGCCACTCCTTAGTTGCCCTGGCTGTGCGTTTCGGGTCGTTGTCATGCTGGAAGACCCAGCTACGACCCATCTTCAATGTTCTTACTGAGGGAAGGAGGTTGTTGGCCAAGATCTCGCGATACATGACCCCATCCATCCTCCCCTCAATACGGTGCAGTCGTCCTGTCCCCTTTGCAGAAAAGCATCCCCAAAGAATGATGTTTCCACCTCCATGCTTCATGGTTGGGATGGTGTTCTTGGGGTTGTACTCATCCTTCTTCTTCCTCCAAACACGGCGAGTGGAGTTTAGACCAAAAAGCTCTATTTTTGTCTCATCAGACCACATGAACTTCTCCCATTCCTCCTCTGGATCATCCAGATGGTCATTGGCAAACTTCAGACGGGCCTGGACATGCGCTGGCTTGACCAGGGGAACCTTGCGTGCGCTGCAGGATTTTAATCCATGACGGCGTAGTGTGTTACTAATGGTTTTCTTTGAGACTGTGGTCCCAGCTCTCTTCAGGTCATTGACCAGGTCCTGCCGTGTAGTTCTGGGCTGATCCCTCACCTTCCTCATGATCATTGATGCCCCACGAGGTGAGATCTTGCATGGAGCCCCAGACCGAGGGTGATTGACCGTCATCTTGAACATCTTCCATTTTCTAATAATTGCGCCAACAGTTGTTGCCTTCTCACCAAGCTGTTTGCCTATTGTCCTGTAGCCCATCCCAGCCTTGTGCAGGTCTACAATTTTATCCCTTATGTCCTTACACAGCTCTCTGGTCTTGGCCATTGTGGAAAGGTTGGAGTCTGTTTGATTGAGTGTGTGGACAGGTGTCTTTTATACAGGTAACGAGTTCAAACAGGTGCAGTTAATACAGGTAATGAGTGGAGATCAGGAGGGCTTCTTGAAGAAAAACTAACAGGTCTGTGAGAGCCGTGAATTCTTACTGGTTGGTAGGTGATCAAATACTTACAGTGGGGGAAAAAACGATTTCTGTAAGTCTTCACAAGGTTTTCACACACTGTTGCTGGTATTTTGGCCCATTCCTCCATGCAGATCTCCTCTAGAGCAGTGATGTTTTGGGGCTGTCGCTGGGCAACACAGACTTTCAACTCCCTCCAAAGATTTTCTATGGGGTTGAGATCTGGAGACTGGCTAGGCCACTCCAGGACCTTGAAATGCTTCTTACGAAGCCACTCCTTCGTTGCCCGGGCGGTGTGTTTGGGATCATTGTCATGCTGAAAGACCCAGCCCCGTTTCATCTTCAATGCCCTTGCTGATGGAAGGAGGTTTTCACTCAAAATCTCACGATACATGGCCCCATTCATTCTTTCCTTTACACGGATCAGTCGTCCTGGTCCCTTTGCAGAAAAACAGCCCCAAAGCATGATGTTTCCACCCCCATGCTTCACAGTAGGTATGGTGTTCTTTGGATGCAACTCAGCATTCTTTGTCCTCCAAACACGACGAGTTGAGTTTTTACCAAAAAGTTCTATTTTGGTTTCATCTGACCATATGACACTCTCCCAATCCTCTTCTGGATCATCCAAATGCACTCTAGCAAACTTCAGACGGGCCTGGACATGTACTGGCTTAAGCAGGGGGACACGTCTTGCACTGCAGGATTTGAGTCCCTGGCGGCGTAGTGTGTTACTGATGGTAGGCTTTGTTACTTTGGTCCCAGCTCTCTGCAGGTCATTCACTAGGTCCCCCCGTGTGGTTCTGGGATTTTTGCTCACCGTTCTTGTGATCATTTTGACCCCACGGGGTGAGATCTTGCGTGGAGCCCCAGATCGAGGGAGATTATCAGTGGTCTTGTATGTCTTCCATTTCCTAATAATTGCTCCCACAGTTGATTTCTTCAAACCAAGCTGCTTACCTATTGCAGATTCAGTCTTCCCAGCCTGGTGCAGGTCTACAATTTTGTTTCTGGTGTCCTTTGACAGCTCTTTGGTCTTGGCCATAGTGGAGTTTGGAGTGTGACTGTTTGAGGTTGTGGACAGGTGTCTTTTATACTGATAACAAGTTCAAACAGGTGCCATTATTACAGGTAACGAGTGGAGGACAGAGGAGCCTCTTAAATAAGAAGTTACAGGTCTGTGAGAGCCAGAAATCTTGCTTGTTTGTAGGTGACCAAATACTTATTTTCCACCATAATTTGCAAATAAATTCATTAAAAATCCTACAATGTGATTTTCTGGATGTTTTTTTCTCAATTTGTCTGTCATAGTTGACGTGTACCTATGATGAAAATTACAGTCCTCTCTCATCTTTTTAAGTGGGAGAACTTGCACAATTGGTGGCTGACTAAATACATTTTTTCCCCACTGTTTGTCATGCAATAAAATGCAAATTAATTGCTTAAAAATCATACAATGTGATTTTCTGGATTTTTTAGATTCCGTCTCTCACAGTTGAAGTGTACCTATGATAAAAATTACAGACCTCTACATGCTTTGTAAGTAGGAAAACCTGCAAAATCGGCAGTGTATCAAATACTTGTTCTCCCCACTGTATGTGCTTTCTTGAGCAGGGGGACCTTGCGGGCGCTGCAGGATTTCAGTCCTTCACAGCGTAGTGGGTTACCAATTGTTTTCTTGGTGACTATGGTCCCAGCTGCCTTGAGATCATTGACAAGATCCTCCCGTGTAGTTCTGGGCTGATTCCTCACAGTTCTCATGATCATTGCAACTCCACAAGGTGAGATCTTGCATGGAGCCACAGGCCGAGGGAGATTGACAGTTCTGTTGTGTTTCTTCCATTTGCGAATAATCGCACCAACTGTTGTCACCTTCTCACCAAGCTGCTTGGCGATGGTCTTGTAACCCATTCCAGCCTTGTGTAGGTCTACAATCTTGTCCCTGACATCCTTGGAGAGCTCTTTGGTCTTGGCCATGGTGGAGTTTGGAATCTGATTGATTGATTGCTTCTGTGGACAGGTGTCTTTTATACAGGTAACAAGCTGAGATTAGGAGCACTCCCTTTAAGAGTGTGCTCCTAATCTCAGCTCGTTACCTGTATAAAAGACACCTGGGAGCCAGAAATCTTTCTGATTGAGAGGGGGTCAAATACTTATTTCCCTCATTAAAATGCAAATCAATTTATAACATTTTTGACATGCGTTTTTCTGGATTTTGTTGTTGTTATTCTGTCTCTCACTGTTCAAATAAACCTACCATTAAAATTATAGACTGATAATTTCTTTGTCAGTGGGCAAATGTACAAAATCAGCAGGGGATCAAATACTTTTTTCCCTCACTGTAACACTTTGTACTTTTTTAAAGACTTTTAACATAGCCCTGTTGTTACCTCATATCACAGCGATGATGCCTTGCATTACGCCTGTGAAGAAAACACTTCAATTTGCTCAACTTGCCATTGACTCAACCATTGGCTCAACTTACCCCATGGCCATTGGCTCAACTTACCCCAGGGCAAAACATTTGACTGTATTAGTCCACACAGCTACAAGCATGCACTATCATGCTAGTTTTAGGACCTCATATTGAAGCTTATAGAGACCCCAACTGAACAATCATAAAAGTAGCTACTTTTGTTTAGATACGAGCATAATGAAAAATCTGTTTTTTGGACCTAACCACTTTTTCCATGTGGTTTCTTTCTCCATATACTCCATAAAATAATGACTTCCTAAATATTTGGTCAAATTATTAATTTTGTGTATAATTTCCTAGAAACAAGGGTGGCTCAATTTACCCCTTTGGCTCAACTTACCCCACTCTCCCCTACATAACTATATAAGTCTATATTAAGATAAACCACTAGTTTTTAGCAGTGAAATACTCCAACACTTCAGTGTGACAGCCCTGTTCTGTCTCTCCTGCAGGTTATTTTTATCCGTGATGGGAATCTAGGCCGATTAGTCATTGATGGGCTGACAGTGCTGGAGGACAGAGCTCAGGACTCCAACGTTTCCTGGCACGTCAGCAGCCACCTCTACTTGGGAGGGGTGCCCCCAGGGAGGGCCCAGAAGAACATACAGGTAAGATACACCCCTTAACACCCAGGGGTAGTACCAGTCAAAAGTAGTGCACTTACTATAAAGGGAACAGGGTGCCATTTGTAGCCTAGTAGCCTGGCAAATGGAGCAGAATGTGTAAAAAAGTTTTTACAGTGGAATTCTGGAAACACAAAGCCTGGCCAAGAATGTTGAAGTAGGATAAAATAGTTAAGATCCTGACCTCTCCAAACAGAGCATTGCAAGAGATGTTTGGGCGATTTATGGTCCTCTAGTCTTTTCTGCCATTATATGTTCACACTGGGAGCCATCCAAGTATTTTCACTTCAGACTGCTGTCTTCAGACGATACGGTTCCCACAGAGAACAGAAAACCACCAACGTGACCCCTCTATGCAAGACCGCATTTGTTAGTGGAACATATTTTCCACAGACTACCACTCTACTCTACTACCATGGTAGTACCACTCTACTACCACTCATTTACGCTTCCCTGTGCTGTATTTGTCTCCTATAGAGAAACTCTGCGTACAGCTTCACTGGCTGTGTGAAGAACCTCCAGCTGAACGGCCAATGGCTGTCCTCCGTGTCCCAGACCTTCGGGGTGACGCCGTGCTTCGAGGGACTCTCCGAGCCGGGGATATACTTCTCCGAAGAGGGGGGATATGTCGCCTTGGGTAATACACCAACACATATGATTCTCCTCAAGGCCCTTCTGGCTTCATACTGTGGTTGAACCATTAAAGATTAATTAGAAGTATGATACCAAAGGAAAAGCTTGTGAAACATTGATTTGCTGCAATCTTCAGGACATTGTATCGTTGTACACTGTTCATTTTGGCAGGGCCTGGAACTGTTTGGAAACAATGAGTCAATTATATCACACGCCATGTTATATTTCCTCTGGAAAGAAGACAAAACCCTTGGGCCGCTCACCAATCACCACACAGACAGGGAAGCAGAGAAGCTGTAGTCAGGATAGGGGAATACGATATCCCCAGTGCAGCTGTGGTGAAAATTTGGCCTGGTGGAAAAGTCGAGGGCACGGAGGAGAGTTGCAGACCCAAAGGTCTTGGGAGCCGAGCTGCAGCTGTTTGAATGAGCGCAGAGCAATTTCACACCCTACTGTGGCTGGCTAAGTTTCACACGTGTACATACCTCATTTGGCCGAAGGGCAGTGAAATATTCCAGGTTACAGACGTTAAAGGGGAGGGGGGTTGTAGAGCAGACTTTGCTAGAACTTCTCTTTCCGTCCGTCTCACTCAGATGACACGTTCAACCTGGGGCTGAAGTTTGAGCTGGTGGTAGAGGTGCGCCCCCGTGTGGCGTCAGGGGTGCTACTGCACGTGTACACAGCAGCCGAGGAGTACCTCACCATGTATATCCATCAAAAAGCGGTAAGCCACTAACACAAAGTAATCTGTATTAATTTGCTGATTTTCTATTAGTAGATCTTGGACTTGTCATCAATGTAAGTGTTGTTCTATGCTCACAGGTGGTGGTGCAGGTGAACAATGGAGTTCGTGAGTTCTTCACTCAGGTCACTCCTAGACTAGGCCTGTGTGATGGGAGCTGGCACAGGGTCACAGGTAAGAGTATTCCCTTCAGTGCACTGACTGCCCTGATTTAAACAGGATGGGACCATGATTTATTTACACTGATTGGCCCATGTTATATAGGTTTGTGACGATACCAGTATTGCAATGTTTTTTCCATGGCAAAAAAGAAAAGATTAAGCAGGTTTTATTATTTGGTTCCTTTAAAAATCTGCTGTAAGTAAAATATTGTGTGATATAGCTTGGAAAATAAACAAATATGACTGATGACAACATAATGATGTTTGTTTCCAACATTAGAGCTGTTTTCCTAAAGAAGTTAAATCCGCTTCATGTTTTGTTTTCCTGCCACGATACTAACGAGTATCGCGATACTGGTATCATCCGGCCCTAATGTTATGCGCAGTGACTGATAACAATGTGTTCCTTCCTGCCTCCTCTGGTTCACAGTGATCCGAGATGCCAATGTTGTCCAGCTGGATGTGGACTCAGAGGTCAATCATGTGGTGGGACCACTCAACCCCAGCGCCCAGAGTGCCAGGACCCCTGTGTTCATTGGTGGAGCACCAGGTCAGTGGCAAGGCCATACTCAACTCTCATACTAGTTGTTAAACACTGCCTAATCCCTGAGATCCCATCTACAAATCACATCCAAACTGTAACAACTTTGTATAGGTTGCTGAAAAAAATTACAAATACAAAAGTACCTATACTATACAAAAAAATCATATGAACTACATTACAGCTATAGGTAGTTTCACCCAATTCCTTTTAATGCGGTGTCTTTGAACAGATACAGAGGCTGTTAGCAGTAACGAGTGTGTATATAATGTTGTTTATTATCTATCGTCCTAGAATCTCTTCTTCCAGAGGGCGTTGCGACTAGGAGGGCCTACACAGGCTGTATGAGGAACCTGACTGTGAACGAGAGCCAAGTGAGCTTCAGCAAAGCTGCCCTGGTCATCGGGGCCGTCAGTGTGGGCTCCTGTCCAGCTGCCTAAAGGGCCTGTCATAACCAATACAGTCCAGCTCTCCAGCAACAAGACTGAACAAATTCTGCTTCATAAGTAGTTTCCACACTGTCAATAAAGTGTTTTATTAAATTGTCTATCCTTGTCCACCAACGCAAGGTTTGTTGTTCTTTAGTCAAGAGAATGACCCAGAAATGTAAACCACCCTCCCATATGAATTAGTCTAGTTTCACATGAGAAAAAAAAAACTGTTTTCCAAAGGTTCCCAGTGATTTTGTTTCTTTCAAGGACTGCAACATGTTGTGATTAAGGACCACTGCATTTCCAGTGCTCATATTATAGCCAACTGAAGAAGGCTTGTAAATGTATCTTCATTCTCTTAATCTACATTGACAGTACTCATAAATCACACTCCCACTCCAAAGGGATGGGTTTGGGTTTGGTTGATAAGGACCCTAAAGTATAGTTTTTGTTTAGCCAAAGAGAGTTGTGATGTACTGTAGAAGTGCCCTCAACTCCAGTTCCAGACAATGCTTCCACCACCCTATTTTGTCATCTCGATGTAGCCACATCTTTGTCTTCTCGATGTTTTTATTGTAATATTCAAAGATTTACAAGTTCATGTCAAATAATGGTTTAGAACAAAACAGCCATACAATACATAACATAATACAACACAGACAATGTACAAAAAAAGGAATAAAAAGAAATACATAAATAAATTGGTGGTAAGGAAATGTCAGTCACTAGAGAGGGCCACATCCGCATGTAACAAAATAGTCTTCATTGCTTTGTCACCGAGTTGTTTTTCTACCTTTTTTCTGCTGAATAAAATTAATCTTCTAAAATCCTTGCTGTTATTGCTTCATTCCCTTCACACATAAAAGACACTGGTCTGATTTACAGATGTGGTCATCAAATACACATGCAGCTAATACAATAATGTTATAGCTTTTTCATTCTGCATTTTCCATAAACTGACACAGCGAGAGAAAGAGAGAGAGCGGTAACATCTTACCTGTATCATGTTGATTATTCTAGGAGGGAAATGTGATGGAATTTCAACCAGATTTCAACCACAGTATACTGCCATCTAGCGCATGATGAGTGGAAGATGGAACTTAATGTAACATGTATCTGCACTGAGTCATTGCGTTATATGCAAACATATTTTGAAAAAAACAACAACTTGCTTTAGTCCACGGTTTTTCTGTTTCCATGACAGAACTACGTCATCAACAGGCGACAAACTTGTGGTGCGAATCTCAAATCGAAGACAGTACAGTATGAAGGTAGGCAGAAACTGCTTCTCCAAAATAAATCTCAGATCACGCTTGTAGGCGATGTCATGGCGACGTCATCGGGTCTAACGGTCGTCATGCGCCGAACTGCGTATGTGCATGCCATCAAACCCACTCCTTCAATATAAAGTAGTTTTTGAAGAAAATTAAAACGTCAGTTTGTCACTTTCATGAGGTTAGAGTAATAACATCTTCAACCACTTAAAACATTGGCTCGAATCTACACTGAACAAAAATATAAAAGCAACATGCAACAATTTTTAAAGATTTTACTGAGTTACAGTTCAAGGATGTTGCTGTTTGGCTAATCACCACTGCCCCCGATGCAAGCACCAGTTAGCATCGAGCTAGCCTAGAGCCCATATCCCGGCTATCTACCTCTCGGTCTACCGGACGGGAGTAGCCAGCTAACTAGCTACTTGCTATTAGCTACCGTTAGCGGTTTTTCACCATTGTCCGTGGCCTGCACCACCTACCAGCCAGCTCTAGCCTGGACTATTATTCGGCCAGTCTGCACTGTCTGCACAGCGCGTTATCGACCCAGAACATATCAGTTTTTTGCCGGAATCACTGGACCTTTAACTCCGGATTCATCGCTACCAGCTAGCTGCAACAAAATGGACGTTGTGGTTTGGCTAATCATCCTGAGCTAGGCCCATCTCCCGGCTATCTACCTCTCTGTCAACCGGACGGGACCACCTAGTGTTGACACGGAGCCCCGCCGATCCTACACGACTGGTCTGCCGACGAAATCGTCTGATGTGGTTACAACAGGCTTCCCGTTACAACGTCGACCACGAAGATTCCATCTGCTAGCCCCGGCCCGCTAGCACACGCTAGCCGTGGCCTCTTGCTCGCTAGTGCTTTAGCAGCCCCCGAACTACCTCCGAACTATCCTATTGCTGTTCACCGGACCTTATGATAACTCAGCTATACAGCTGATGCCTGCTGGACTGTTCCTTTTTACGGTACCGCATCCTGTTTATGTTTAGCCTCAGCCCAAACTGTGTCGCCATTACCAGCTGTTGTCTTAACTCTCTCAAATTACACCTGTGATTGCTTTATGCCTCTCTCCCATGTCAATATGGTTTGCTTATTGCTGTTTCGGTTATTTCTAATTGTACTATTTCACTGTAGATCCCCCAGCCCAGCTAAACCTGCCTTAGATAGCTCCTTTGTCCCACCCCCATACACGAGGAGACCGACTCAATCGGTGCCTCCAGTGATGCTATCTCTTTCATTGTTACCCAACGCTTAGGTTTACCTCCACTTTACTCATATCCTTCCATATCCTTGTCTGTACATAATGCCCTGAATCTTTTCTACAATGCCCGGAAATCTGCCCCCTTTATTCTATGTACCCAACGCACTAGAAGACCAGTTCTTAAAGCCTTTAGCCGTATCCTTATTCTAGTCCTCCTCTGTTCCTCTGGTGATGTAGAGGTTAACCCAGGCCTTGCAGCCCTCAGTATCACTCCTACTCCCCAGGCGCTATCATTTGTTGACTTCTGTAACCGTAAAAGCCTTGGTTTCTTGCATGTTAATATCAGAAGTCTCCTTCCTAAGTTTGAGTTATTCACTGCGTTAGCACACTCCGCCAACCCTGATGTTCTAGCAGTGTCTCAATCCTGGCTTAGGAAGGCCACCAACAATTCTGAAATTTCCATCCCCAACTATAACATTTTCCGTCTAGATAGAACTGCCAAAGGGGGTGGAGTTGCAATCTACAGTAGAGATAGCCTGCAGAGCTCTATCATACTATCCAGGTCTGTGCCCAAACAGTTTGAGCTTCTACTTCTAAAAATCCACCTTTCCAGAAATAAGTATCTCACTGTTGCCGCTTGCTACAGACCCCCCTCAGCCCCCAGCTGTGCCCTGGACACCATATGTGAATTGATTGCCCCCCATTTATCCTCAGAGTTCGTACTGCTTGGTGACCTAAATTGGGATATGCTTAACACCCCGGCCATCCTACAATCCAAACTAGATGCCCTCAATCTCACACAAATTATCAACGAACCTACCAGGTACAACCCTAAATCCGTAAACATGGGTACCCTCATAGATATCATCCTGACTAACTTACCCTCTAAATACACCTCCGCTGTCTTCAACCAGGATCTCAGCGATCACTGCCTTATTGCCTGCGTCCGTAACGGGTCCGCGGTCAAACGACCACCCCTCATCACTGTCAAACGCTCCCTAAAACACTTTAGCGAGCAGGCCTTCCTAATTGACCTGGCCCAGGTATCCTGGATGGATATAGATCTCATTCCGTCAGTAGAGTGCCTGGTTGTTCTTTAAAAGTAATTTCCTCTCAATCTTAAATAAGCATGCCCCATTCAAAAAATACAGAACTAAGAACAGATATAGCCCCTGGTTCTCCTCAGACTTGACTGCCCTTGACCAGCACAAAAACATCCTGTGGCGTACTGCATTAGCATCAAATAGCCCCCGCGATATGCAACTTTTCAGGGAAGTTAGGAACCAATATACACAAGCAGTCAGGAAAGCAAAGGCTAACTTTTTCAAACAGAAATTTGCATCCTGTAGCACTAACTCCAAAAAGTTTTGGGACACTGTAAAGTCCATGGAGAATAAGAGCACTTCCTCCCAGCTGCCCACTGCACTGAGGCTAGGAAACACAGATAAATCTACAATCTACGGCTGGCCATGCTTCCCACCTGGCTACCACTACCCTGGCCACCAACTCTGCACCCTCCACTGCAACTTGCCCATGCCCCCCCCCCCCCCCGCTTCTCCTTCACACAAATTCAGACAGCTGATGTTCTGAAAGAGCTGCAAAATCTGGACCCCTACAAATCAGCTGGGCTAGACAATCTGGACCCTTTCTTTCTAAAACTAGCCGCCGAAATTGTCACAACCCCTATTACTAGCCTGTTCAACCTCTCTTTCGTAACGTCTGAGATCCCCAGAGATTGGAAAGCTGCCGCGGTCATCCCCCTCTTCAAAGGCGGTGACACTCTAGATCCAAACTGTTACAGACCTATATCCATCCTGCCCTGCCTTTCGAAAGTATTTGAAAGCCAAGTTAACAAACAGATCACTGACCATTTCGAATCCCACCGTACCTTCTCCGCTATGCAATCCGGTTTCCGAGCTGGTCATGGGTGCACTTCAGCCACGCTCAAAGTCCTAAACGATATTATAACCGCGATCGATAATAGACAGTACTGTGCAGCCGTCTTCATCGACCTGGCCAAGGCTTTCGACTCTGTCAACCACCGCATTCTTATTGGCAGACTAAATAGCCTTGGTTTCTCAAATGACTGCCTCGCCTGGTTCACCAACTACTTCTCAGATAGAGTTCAATGTGTCAAATCGGAGGGCCTGTTGTCTGGACCTATGGCAGTCTCTATGGGGGTGCCACAGGGTTCAATTCTTGGACCGACTCTTTTCTCCGTGTATATCAATGATGTCGCTCTTGCTGCTGGTGACTCTCAGATCCACCTCTACGCAGACGACACCATTTTGTATACATCTGGCCCTTCATTGGACACTGTGTTAATAAACCTCCAAACGAGCTTCAATGCCATACAACACTCCTTCAGTAGCCTCCAACTGCTCTTAAACACTAGTAAAACTAAATGCATGCTCTTCAATCGAACGCTGCTGGCACCCGCCCACCCGACTAGAATCACTACTCTCGACGGGTCTGACCTAGAGTATGTGGACAACTACAAATACCTAGGTGTCTGGTTAGACTGTAAACTCTCCTTCCAGACTCACATTAAGAATCTCCAATCCAAAGTTAAATCTAGAATCGGCTTCCTATTTCGCAACAAAGCCTCCTTCACTCATGCTGCCAAACATGCCCTCGTAAAACTGACTATCCTACCGATCCTTGACTTCGGCGATGTCATTTACAAAATAGCCTCCAACACTCTACTCAGCAAATTGGATGGTCTATCACAGTGCCATCCGTTTTGTCTCCAAAGCCCCATACACTACCCACCACTGTGACCTGTACGCTCTTGTTGACTCCTCCTCACTACATGTTCGTCGTCAAACCCACTGGCTCCAGGCCATCTATAAATCACTGCTAGGCAAATCCCCGCCTTATCTTAGCTCATTGGTCACCATAGCAGCACCCACCCGTAGTCTGCGCTCCAGCAGGTATATCTCACTGGTCATCCCCAAAGCCAACACCTCCTTTGGCCACCATTCCTTCCAGTTCTCTGCTGCCAATGACTGGAACGAATTGCAAAAATCTCTGAAGCTGGAGACTCTTATCTCCCTCAATAACTTTAAGCATCAGTTGTCAGAGCACCTTACCGATCACTGCACCTGTACACAGCCCATCTGAAATTAGCCCACCCAACTACCTCATCCCTATATTGTTATTTATTTTTGCTCTTTTGCTCTTTTGCACCCCAGTATCTCTATTTGCACATAATCTCTTTCACATCTAGCATTCCAGTGTTAATACTAATTGTAATTATTTTGCACTATAGCCTTTTTATTGCCTTACCTCCATAACTTGCTACATTTGCACAAACTGTATATATATTTTCTGTTGTATTTTTTGACTTTATGTTTTTTTTACCCCATATGTAACTCTGTGTTGTTGTTTTTATCACACTGCTTTGCTTTATCTTGGCCAGGTCGCAGTTGTAAATGAGAACTTGTTCTCAACTGGCTTACCTGGTTAAATAAAGGTGAAATAAATAAATAAATAAAATAAGGAAATCAGTCAATTGAAAAAATTGCATTAGGCCCTAACCTATGGATTTCAAATAACTGGGAATACAGATATGCATCTGTTGGTCACAGATACCTTAAAAAAAAGTAGGGGCGTGTATCAGAAAACCAGTCAGTATCTGATGTGACTACCATTTGCCTCATGCAGCGCGACACATCTCCTTCGCATAGAGTTGATCAGGGTGCTGATTGTGGCCTGTGGAATGTTGTCCCACTCCTCTTCAATGGCTGTGCGATGTTCCTGGATATTGGCTGGAACTGGAACACGCTGTTGTACACGTCGATCCAGAGCATCCCAAATATGACATGTCTGGTGAGTATGTAGGCCATGGAAGAACTTGGACATTTTCAGTTTCCAGGAATTGTGTACAGATCCTTGCGACATGGGGCTGTGCATTATCATGCTGAAACATGAGGTGATGGCGGTGGATGAATGGCACAACAATGGGCATTTTAGAGAAATAAGCTTTTTGTGCATGTGGAACATTTCTGGTCCTGAAACATGGGACCAACACTTTACATGTTGCATTTTTGTTCAGAAAAGGTTGTGCCTTTAGATTTTGAGAAAATTAATACTTTTTTACTTCTCTCATTGACTTCTCAAACCCCAAACCTCGGCCTGGTCTGCTTGGTCTGCATCGCAAGCCTTCCCGGAAGTATCGCGATGTTGCACCTCTGGGTTTAGAAACTCTGTGATCAAATTCTCAAACTGCCTTGTACATAGGTCTGAAAGTTCGATATATGAAGTTCTGTAAATTATAATGTTCCAAGAAGTTACCGTCTGATATTCTGTGAAGCGATGACACAATCAGTCGTTGTACAATGTGAGCTTGATACTTTCTTAACTTGTTACGACTTCCTCCGAAGCTGCCTCCTGTCCTTGTTCGGGCAGGCTTCTAGCCACTGCCGCTCCTCATCTCATCATTCCATTTGTTTTGTCTTGTTTATTACACACACCTGGTTCATATCCCCTCATTAGTACCTGTATAAGTGTTCCCTCTGCCCGCCTGTCTGTGTGTGTGATTGTTTATTGTGGAGGTATTATAGCTCGGTGGAGCTACTTTGTATTTGTATCGCTGGGATATTCACCCGTGTGCCTTGTTTTTTTAACGCATTGCTGCGTACCACTGTGTTCCTGAATAAACCATATATTCTGTGATTTACCCTCCTGCGCCTGACTCCGTCCAAAATCACCCACTACATATCTCTACCTGCTCTATGTCTATGGCTGCAACACCTGCGAAAGGGGAGGTGTTAGTAACCAATTATTTATATATACACACTAGAGCACAGATAGGGGGCACTGTGTTGAAGCCATCATGCCTCCATCTTGGCACTCCCCCACCGTTGTAAACAAATAATTTGGAAGCCATTGAAATGCATTTATTAATGTCCACATACTTTTTTGACATGTTTATTCTATTACAAACACCTTATACTTTACAAGTATGCAATATTAAGTGAGCTAATGAAAAACAAAATGAATTCCTTAAAGTATCATTTTCTAAGATTACTAATGTTACTGTCCCCACTAAAACATAAAAAATACTTAAATACATTTAATTTAGTCCTTCAAACATTTAATTGAAATAGTGTACAATTCCATTCATTCCTATGGAGGACTGCTCCTACTGGGGCGGGCCAATATGGCCGACCGGTGGCTTCAAAGCCTCTCAATGGCCAATACATAGCAGCAGTCCAGGGTTTATAGACACTGAGTGTACAAAACATTAGGAACACCTTCCCCTCAGAACAGCCTCAATTCGTCAGGGCATAGACTCTAGGAGGTGTCGAAAGTGTTCCACAGGGATGCTGGCCCATGTTGACTCCAAGGCTTCCCACAGTTGTGTCAAGTTGACTGGATGTCCTTTGGGTGGTGCACCATTCTTGATACACATGGGAAATTGTTAAGTGTTGCAGTTCTTGACACACTCAAACGGAGCGCCTGGCACCTACTATCATACCCTGTTCAAAGGCACTTAAATATTTTATTATTTAACCTGTCTCCTCTTCAGCTACACTAGGGTTGAATATTTTCCAGGTATTTTACAAATGTTCCATTCTGAAAATAAATCACTTTTCTCCCGTGTAACCCGGTATTTCCCGCCCAAACCTTAAGTGTCATTCAAAAGCATTATAAAGCATATATATATATGTCTGGATTTGATTAGAGCTTTGATCCGCATGAAAATTGAAACCTGATGCTACCTGAGCCTGATGAGCCATATATTAAATACATTTTATGAGCCCTACATTAATTACATTTAATGAGCCCAAATGATTGTGCTGTTATCTATTGCATATATTATATAGGCTACTGCACATTACACATAACAGAAAAACGTAAACCCATAGATGTAGCTAACTATATTCTATCTTGGGTAATATTTTTTAGTGTGAACTGTATTACTGTACTGTATTGTATTATACTGTATTATATGGACAGGAATTATGCACATCGTTTAAACCATGATAAAGCAGAAGAGAACATGCAATTCTGGTGTAGCACATGCACCTACAAAGTTAAAAGTATAGGCTAGCGAATTTGATTTTAATTTTTAAATATAATAGGGCCTATTTGTATAATAAGTAGGCTGTCGCATATATACCTTTCATAATATCCCCCCTAATGTTATTAGCCTACTTCCTCTTTCTCTCTCTATTGTTGCTTCATTCCTTCCTCGCTTTCAACAATTAAATGAAATAAGTTTCCTTGTCCTTATCTTCATCATTCTAATGACATCCTTGAATATTATAGGACTAGAATTCTTTCAAACTACCCGTGAGTTCTATTGGCTGCTGTATTTAACATTAAGCAAAAAAGAGCTTGCGTCCATCTTCGAATAGTCTATTGGTATAAGAAATACTAAAAAAAAAAGAATGTCCGGCAAGCTATTCTAGTCTAGCTTTTCTTGCATGGGCCTCCAAGAGCTAAGGAGCGTTTTTGTAAGGAGAGGCCAGCGGAGCACAGGTGCTTGCATATTGTGCAAGAGACAGAGGCTATAAATTAGAAGCTTATTACGCATAACCCAACATGAATTAGCTAAATATAAGGTTCATACTGCATTGAATGTATTACCTGAAAGAGGTAGGCTAGGGCATCTATATATAGGGCTATATACAGTATAAATCTAGAACAGGGTTATCTATTTTGGATGCAATTTGAATGGAGTTGACGGAGAAAGAGGAAGACTGTGAGAGTGCTTGCGCGTGCACTGATTTAAAGCAACGATGTTCAAGCGATAGACTGTTTTAAAACTCTGCAGCTTTAATTAAAAAATATATAATCTTTCAAATTAAAAGACAAGGTGACCCCCAAAAGCCAGATGTAGAGGGGTAAATTAGACGTACATTCGGTCTTTATATTACTGTAGCATAGGCTATGCTCAGCAAACGTAGGCCTACCTGTCACAAGAAAAAAAGTTACCATGATGAGATGATAGGTCTACATGCATTGTGAACTGTCAGTTGGACAGTGTGGTAACCAGGTGGGCTGCAGGTTTTGGCATCTTGCTTTGCGGGAGCATTCCTATGTCAACAAAGTCAACTTTTCCCCAGAAAATAATAGTAGTTATTAAAAGATAAATGTATTTGATTTGATGGGGAAAAGTCAAGACTAAAATCATTCATAATGTTTAACAATGTATTCTAAATATATGTCAGTCACCTGTGGTTTTTATCCCCTGTTGTGTATAATGGGACAGGAAGTTAAGCTAGTGGTATGTTCTCATTTGACATATTCATAACTGGGCTACAGTATCTCTAACATTTATTTCCTATTTTCTTTGTAATTTAGAAAGTAATCTACGATGAGGCTCTGAGCAGCTTCTTCCGGAATGTTGACTCAAGGTAATTCCATCCCGCCCATCTCTTGCTGTGACCCATTCAACCCTAACGACTACATGGCTGTGAAACGTGCACGCTCAGTCCATCAGTCAACCTTTACTCACCTTCTCAAATGACCATTGTTGTTCCCTGCTATGTGTGTATTTCCAGGGGAAGCGACGGGGGAGCTTGTGACATCACCGGTGGGAGAATATGATCCCAGGGTAAATTCCAGTGATGATTTATTGTCTCTGCTTGATTAATGTGACCGTATGTGTGTGTGTGTGTGTCAGCTTCACACACCCTCTGACAAGAGGAATGCCCTCTGTACAGGCGGTGTTGGTAGACATGGAGGAGGGCATGGTGAACGAGATCCTATAGGGCCCGCGTCAAAGAGAAGTTTGACAGCACTCAGCTCATCATTGACGTGTCTGGCTCAGGCAACAACTGGTTAGGGACTGAGTGAGTGAGTGACTGACTGTCTCTCTGTCTGCATGCCTGCCTCTGCCTGCCTCAGGCATGCCATATCACATGCCCATGAGCAGCTTTTTGTCCAAGTTCTGTATAGGCTAGGCCCCTCAAACTCAACTCTGGACCTCGAAGCCAGTTTCACTGTGCTTTTCCATTGTTCCCCTCTAATCAGGGACTGACTTAGACCTGGGACACCAGGTGGGTGCAATAAATTATCAGGTATAACAGAACAACAGCAGGCTCCTTACATCGAAGGGTAAAGAGTTTAGTACCCTTGGGCTTGACATGGTAATCTTATCAGTATGTGGCATGTAAATAGTCTAGTTCAGTGGAGATAGCATTGTCAGCGGTTTGGTGTGTAGTGATTAGTGCTTTTTTATGTCTGTTCGGTTTCGATTATTATTATTTTTGGACATGAAATGCTCTATGCATTATGTGGGTTGAATGCTGTAACAACACAGAATAAAACAATTCACCAAAGTCCCATGATGGTGAGGACTGCTCATTATTGCTTATCACTTATTAACTACAATTTATTCACGTTACTTTACTTTAATAAAATATGTGTTTTATTTGATGACTTTATTATTTCATTCCAATGCTGTCTGACAAAATCACTATTTTGTAGTTCTACAAAGTAAAAAAGGCATACTTTTATGACTGCTGAATATCAACAATCAGTCACTTGGATCATGTATTTTCCAGCTCATGGAGCAACTGCTTTCTATCCCTCTCGATCACGTGCTCCGCGCAGACCGGACAAGTTTAAGCAGACGCGCGGCAATTATGTGGTCAAACAATGCCAAACTTCTTCTGTAAGTGTGCAAACTCATTCATTTCTCTCCAGGGCAGTGGGCCACTGGACGTTTGGCTCAACCTACAGGGAACAGATCGTGGACCAGCTGAGGAGGGCAGCAGAGCATTGTGACTGGCTGCAATGCTTCTTATTCACTCAATGGGTGGAGGTGAGGACTCAGTGTACAAATGCATTCATAGTCTCATAACTACTGAAACACATTAATAAACATGTTATAACTGCATGAACGGCATTGGTGCTTTCAGTTACTTTCAGTGTAATGTTTTGGATGACCATAATGTGTTTTGTCCTATGCTGTGATGGTCAGGGACTGGATCAGGCCTGGGCACCTGTGTTTTAAAACTTCTGGAGGAAGAGTTCCCCGAGGTATGTCGTATCGTCACCTCAGTCTGCCCCTCAGCAGAGCATGACGTCATCACCTCCCCCTGCAACAGTGTCTTGGCCATGCCGGAGCTCACCGAGCACACCGACTTGTAATAATAATATGCCATTTAGCAGACGCTTTTATCCAAAGCGACTTACGGTCATGCGTGCATACATTTTTACGCATGGGTGGTCCCGGGGATCGAACCCACTACCTTGGCGTTACAAGCGCCGTGCTCTACCAGCTGAGCTACAGAGACCTTGTGTTCTCCCTGTGTAAAATCAGGTGTGTGGCTGTCTGTGTGTCCGGGTTAAAGTGTAATCTTAGTCTTTGATTCAGTGCTCAGGTCTTTCCTTATTATGCATGTAGTGTATGATGTACATTCTGTTTCTGACAGTTAAAGTTAAACGACAGTGATTTCCTTCCTTTGTCCATTTTTGTTATTCTTCTTCCAGTCATTGGTGGACATAGTGAACAACATAAAGCACATGTCCCAAAGGTTCTGTGGTCAAGAAGGACACTACCATCATCTCAGGCCAGGGAGGGGTCAGTGGAGCGGAGAAGCCCTTTGATGCCATGAACAACATCGTAGCCAACCTGCTGCTCAATATCCCCAGGTAGACTACTGGAGATAGACAGGCTGCTGTCTGTGGCACTAGGCCTTTTATTGACCTTCACAGACCCACTTCATTGAGCCTCCCTGGTGTTTGGAGTCTGGTCTTCTCCAGTGTATTTTACTGCCACTGTAAAAACCAACATCTGTTTTTGGATAAAATAAAACATAAAAAAGCAATTTCTAAGAAAATGTAGAGGAAATTCTGAATTATAAAAGTACTGTAATAGAATTACAAAAGACCCACCCCACCACCAACAACGTAATTGCACAGTGCAGTCATTGCACTGTTAAAGGGGGGTTATTTGTGTCAATAAAGAAGAATGCTTGTTTGTCTGAGGGAATAGCATCTGTCTGCTTGGTTCTTACATGTCTGATGTGATATCAATTCACTGATTGTTTCTCTGCTGCTGTAGTTCGGCTCGTTTTGAAGGATCGCTCAACATGGACCTGAATGAGATAGCCATGAACCTAGTTCCCTTCCCTGCTGCACTACCTGGTGCCCAGCGTCACCCCTCTCTACACCCTGGCTGATGTTAACATCCCCACCAGGAGATCTGCTCTCCTGTCCCAACTCCTATTTTTACCTACTCTGGAACTCAGAATATTACATTGCCCACCGCCCTCTGTACAAGTGCCCTTTGTTGACAGTCAGTGAATGGCAATGCTCCGTCACACCCATGCTGTCTACTCTGATCTATGCTGTATAAAATTCTGGTGTCTCAAAGTGGGATCTCACAGTGAACTAGGAATACTAGAGAGACCTATGAATAGCACATGATGCCAATGGTGTGTCCAGGCATGTATAGTGTAATGTGAAAGTGCAATACAGTAGTGTAGTATCTTTGTTAGTTGAATGCATTTAGCTACAGTACATTGCTGTATCGTGTAGCTCAGTGAGTAGAACACGGCGCTTGCAACGCCAGTGTTATGGGTTCGATTCCCAAGATGGACCAGTATGAGAAAATATTTGCACTCAATACTGTCACTCTTGATAAGAACGTCTGCTAAATGACTCAAATGTATGAGTCATTGTGGATATGAGTGACAGTCTGCTATGATGTAAATGGTATGAATACATTTTGTAGTTATGTTCTTTTTTAGCTGTGCTCTCTGTCTGTGTCTTTCCTGCCTCAGGCTGGACCAGATGTTTACTGATGCCTCCAGTAAAGACCATTACCTGGCCTGTGCCCTCATGTTCCGGGGCAACGTGCAGGTGTCTGACTTCAATGACTTCAAGAGCACTATCCTCCCCTCCCCAATCCTGTTTCCGATCTCCAATAAAAAGTACCACCCAGACTCATACATACTCATAAGGCCCAGCGATGACCTTCCCAGCTGCTCACTCTCAAATAGTGTTCTTATTCAAAGCTGTGTGTTTATGCTCCATTACAGATACCCCTGAATCATGACTGGCCTATTCAGCTCCCACCTTCTCCTCTCCCCTCCCTCCTCTCCCTGCAGATACCTTTTTCATGTGGCATGTTGTCAAGCGCAACAGAAACAGGTGTTTTTATGAGAGCACATACCTGTGCGTGACCACCATGTAAATCAGGAGGAGAAATCTCCTGGAGCACAGACACCATGTGGCACATTTAGGTGACTTTGGAGAGCGACAGTATTATTCACTTTGGTTGTTGAATTAGACTGTACATCTAGATATGATTTAAAGTAAACCCTGGATATGTGGGCTGCTTTAGTGTCTGGTAACCTGTGGGCTCGTTTCCAGGAGCCTAAACTTCTCCATTGAGAATGAGAAACTGACCCTATATGTTTTCATAGAAAAGCAGGTTGACCAATGGTAGCCCCATATTCATTCTCATTCCCTTCTTCTTCGTCTCAGACTGAGGCCCACATTTCCCATTGTGTCGTGGAACCAGGAGGGATGGAAGGCAGGGCTGTGTTCTGTGCCCCCTGTGGGTCACTCCTTACTGGCCCTGGCCAACAACACCTGTGTCAAGCCCACCTTCATGGAGATCCGAGACCACTTCACCAAGCTCTACAGGAAGAAGGTACATCCTAACATAAACTTCAATCACAACAATCTTAAACTGTTGAAAAAGAAGTGTTTAGAGTCCAGAAGATTGAGAGGTAAATACAGCAAACAGACCAATTTCCATTTCACAGAGGACAATAGCAGAGTTCAACTAAAGAAAGAGAAGCGGTTCATGTTCTCTAAGCAGGGCTGTAGGCACCAGTATTTTCCCTGCGGTCAGTGTAGAGTACATCCCTATCTGACATAATGGATTGTTTTGGCAGGCTCACTTGCATCACTACCTGCTTGTGGACGGGATGGAGCAGGGCTGCTTCACAGAGGCCATCTCCTCCCTCTCCTCCCTGATGGATGGGATGGAGCAGGGCTGCTTCACAGAGGCCATCTCCTCCCTCTCCTCCCTGATGGATGGGATGGAGCAGGGCTGCTTCACAGAGGCCATCTCCTCCCTCTCCTCCCTGATGGATGGGATGGAGCAGGGCTGCTTCACAGAGGCCATCTCCTCCCTCTCCTCCCTGATGGATGGGATGGAGCAGGGCTGCTTCACAGAGGCCATCTCCTCCCTCTCCTCCCTGATGGATGGGATGGAGCAGGGCTGCTTCACAGAGGCCATCTCCTCCCTCTCCTCCCTGATGGACGGGATGGAGCAGGGCTGCTTCACAGAGGCCATCTCCTCCCTCTCCTCCCTGATGGACGGGATGGAGCAGGGCTGCTTCACAGAGGCCATCTCCTCCCTCTCCTCCCTGATGGATGGGATGGAGCAGGGCTGCTTCACAGAGGCCATCTCCTCCCCCTCCTCCCTGATGGATGGGATGGAGCAGGGCTGCTTCACAGAGGCCATCTCCTCCCTCTCCTCCCTGATGGATGGGATGGAGCAGGGCTGCTTCACAGAGGCCATCTCCTCCCCCTCCTCCCTGATGGATGGGATGGAGCAGGGCTGCTTCACAGAGGCCATCTCCTCCCTCTCCTCCCTGATGGATGGGATGGAGCAGGGCTGCTTCACGGAGGCCATCTCCTCCCTCTCCTCCCTGATGGATGGGATGGAGCAGGGCTGCTTCACGGAGGCCATCTCCTCCCTCTCCTCCCTGATGGATGGGATGGAGCAGGGCTGCTTCACAGAGGCCATCTCCTCCCTCTCCTCCCTGATGGATGGGATGGAGCAGGGCTGCTTCACGGAGGCCATCTCCTCCCTCTCCTCCCTGATGGATGGGATGGAGCAGGGCTGCTTCACGGAGGACATCTCCTCCCTCTCCTCCCTGATGGATGGGATGGAGCAGGGCTGCTTCACAGAGGCCATCTCCTCCCCCTCCTCCCTGATGGATGGGATGGAGCAGGGCTGCTTCACAGAGGCCATCTCCTCCCCCTCCTCCCTGATGGATGGGATGGAGCAGGGCTGCTTCACAGAGGCCATCTCCTCCCTCTCCTCCCTGATGGATGGGATGGAGCAGGGCTGCTTCACAGAGGCCATCTCCTCCCTCTCCTCCCTGATGGACGGGATGGAGCAGGGCTGCTTCACAGAGGCCATCTCCTCCCTCTCCTCCCTGATGGATGGGATGGAGCAGGGCTGCTTCACAGAGGCCATCTCCTCCCTCTCCTCCCTGATGGATGGGATGGAGCAGGGCTGCTTCACGGAGGCCATCTCCTCCCTCTCCTCCCTGATGGACGGGATGGAGCAGGGCTGCTTCACGGAGGCCATCTCCTCCCTCTCCTCCCTGATGGACGGGATGGAGCAGGGCTGCTTCACAGAGGCCATCTCCTCCCTCTCCTCCCTGATGGATGGGATGGAGCAGGGCTGCTTCACAGAGGCCATCTCCTCCCTCTCCTCCCTGATGGATGGGATGGAGCAGGGCTGCTTCACAGAGGCCATCTCCTCCCTCTCCTCCCTGATGGATGGGATGGAGCAGGGCTGCTTCACAGAGGCCATCTCCTCCCTCTCCTCCCTGATAGAGGACTACAGTCAGCTGGATGCCACCAAGGACAGACTGACTCTGCCATATGAGGTCATCTCTGTCTACACATAGTGGACTGTTAGTGAGTGCAGGTGTGTGTGGTAATGTGTGGGTGTGTACATGCAAAGCAATTTAGTATTTTACTAAAATAAAATAGTACTGTAATTTGATAAATAACTGGTTTATTTCTTTTTTATAAGTTACAAAAGATTTCATACACCTTTGTGTCTAAATGATATTCCTCATCGATCAAAATAAATTAGAATGAATTGCTGAGTAATGAGTATGTATGCCTTGAAACAAAAGGACCTAAAAATGATCAAAGACTCCAGCCACCCTAGTCATAGACTGTTCTCTCTGCTACCGCACGGCAAGCGGTACTGGAGCGCCAAGTCTAGGTCCAAAAGGCTTCTTAACAGCTTCTACCCCCAAGCCATAAGACTCCTGAACGGCTAATCATGGCTACCCGGACTATTTGCATTGCCCCCTCACCTCACCCCAACCCCCTCTTTTACGCTGCTGCTACTCTGTTTATTATTCATGCGTAGTCACTTTAACTCTACCCACATGTACATATTACCTCAATTATCAATTTTTTTACTTAACACTTATATTTATATATTTTTTGCTTTTCTTAAAAACTGCGTTGTTGGTTAAGGGCTTGTAAGTAAGCATTTCACTGTAATGTCTACACCTGTTGTATTCGGCGCATGTGGCAAATAAGATTTGATTTGATTTATTATGTCAACAATACAAAATAAACATTTATACCAAACTAACAATTCAAACTAACAATTCAAATCTGTAGTGAATCAAAGTGGATTTGAGATAGTATGAGGTATTTTGAAGCTAACTTAGTTGTGAATTAACTGGTAGAAAGATTAATTGTGATCCAGCTGGTACAACACTGTGTTTGGCATTGATTAGGGGTTACGATCAGTGGTTCTCTAGATCTTAAAAAATATTTAAGAAGAAAACTGACCCATAACATGTTTGCTCTATCTATCCCTGTTACCACTACTGGCCTCACTGACAGCCCTATTGTTAATGAGGTACTGTAAAAACCATATCATTTTATCATGAGGTCTAACCCCAAATTACTTACATTACGTTTCCCTTCATGTTAATTGTTAAGCAATCTGCCAAGCCCTAGTTGTCTCTATCCAGTCAAACTTCATGAGTTGAGGTTCCACGTGTTTCAACTTTTCATATCAGCCCACTGGCATCTAGCCAGAGAACACAGGCACTGTTCAGGAGCATTTCATGCCCAGACTGAACTGTGACCAGGGTTCAGTCCTGTCCACTTAACCATCATGACTTGGTCAGAAGCAGTAAGGCCAGGCCAGTGTTGGAGTCTGTGGGCATGGACATGGATGAGGCTCTAAGGTTGATATAGATGCTGGAGAAGGTGCTAGAGGAAGCGTAGCTCTGCGAACATGTCCTCAGGGTCATCGCACTTCCTCTGGCACACGCAGGACATTATCCACTGCATCTTCCAGCGCACGCTGGAGCCGCCCTTGCACTTGAAGTTGACGGCCACCATTTTGGATTTGTTGGGGACGCAGCAGCGCTTGTCGGTGCAGATGCCGCAGTAAGTGGGTTTGAAACTCTTGGTGCTGGTACACCCAGACAGGGTCAGCTTCTCCGCTTTCTTGGCCTGGAACTTGGGCTTACACATCTTTCCTCTCAGCATCTAGAGGGAAAAAGGACATTTAAATTTACCCTGGCCGTGACCCCACTCTCCGAGGGTGTCTTAGGGAGAGTTGGGATATACAAAAAAACACATTTCCTATTCACACATGCGTATTAATACACACCTGTACATGTGTGAAATAAGACAAATGTAAGCACCCACCAAGTTATTATTATTATTAAGTCTTAAGATTCATATAGAAACCCTATCAGACTTCTTCTGCTCTCCTTTGGTGAATGTATACAGTCAATCCAAGACCACTGTCATATTTAGGGTGTTGTGGGCATACAGGGAATTCCTTTTACATTTCACCCATCATCACCATCTGAACAATGCATCATCAGCCCCCAGAGAGAGCCTGGCTGATCGGTGGTCGGTCACCTTGACGTTCTTCATGATGCTCTTCTCACACGGCCGCAGCAGGCAGAGGCGGCGGTCCTTCCTCATCTCACACTTGCCGTTGTCGTTGTTGACCCAGACTGAGATACCCAGGCCGCAGGTCTTGGAGCAGGGACTCCACGGAGTGGTCTGGATCAGGCAGTTCTTCTTCCAGACTAAAGGAGGATCCCTGTAAGCTTTCAGTATTAAAGGGCACTCAGACCGCTAGAAGAAGGAACCCGCCTGTCCCTGCCATGCTGCCACAGAGCACATGCTGTTCAGAGTGAATCAAGAGCCCTCAGTCAGCCACACTCCATCCTCTCTGCACTTCCCAGCCAAAGTAATAAAAATGCCCTCAGCCTCCCTCTTTCCATCCAGCTTACTTTCACAGCAATTAGCATTCCAGGGCAGACAAGCTGGCGATTCTGGCCCTGGTTTTCTCTGCTAACACACACCTGGCATGGTGGCCATGTAGGTCGTATCCTGCTGGTGCTTCCTGGAAGCACCGGGGGCGCTCTGGTGGCCGGCTGGCAGGGGTGTGTTGCTCCTCAGAGGGGCAGGACCCAGGAGACCAGCAGGCTTCCTTATGAAGGCCAGGGTGCAGCCGATGGCTCCCGCGATGCACGTGCACTTATACAGTGGGCTGGGCTGAAAGGCCTCGCCGTTCTCATAGTGGGCCCAGTTCAAGTCACAGCCCACTGCCATCAAGTCTAGGAGCAGGCGATAAGGGAAACAGAACTCAACTCAGTTGACTGGCCTATGCAATGCTTGCCGCATTCTTGTGGTGTTAGTGTGTCTCAAAGTGTGGTCAGCCTTGGGGTATTTGCCTGATTTAAATATGTGTTTGACCTAATGGAGTCCTTTGATGATCAAAGAGACCCTGGATAAATGAGTAAACCAGTCCCATGGAACTACAGGTTTATGCAAATCTCCAATCCTGAGTGAGTAGCATGGGATTGAAGTATTTTCATGTAGTAAAGTATATAGCCAGTTCTTTGAAATAGCAGAGACCTATTGCACAATCCAGCTCCTCTCCCCTCTGAAAATAAGTAATTGACCTTGAGACATTCAATTATACATTGACTTAACTTTGTTGATAGCCCATGGGCTACAAATGAAACGTTCACTCACAAGCGCAGACTCCGACCTCATATCGCAGCTGGTCTTTAGAGAAATCGCAGTACATGCCCTTGTGGGGGTCGCAGATGTCCCTCTCATTGCAGGCCTCTCTGATTTGCCGGGCACAGCTCTTACAGCAGCCGCAGTCATCTAGCACAGAGCTGACCCCTGGGGCACACTGGGGCTTAGCCCGGCACTTACAGGGCCAGTGGCAGAACTGTTTCCTCTCCAACACGGCCTTGCTGCCTCGCGGAGCAGACAGCTGCCCACCATGGTTCTGAGCCCTGCATAGAGACTGGAGGGAAGGAGAGGACAGGGTTCTTATAGGGTTAAGGGTAAAAGAGCACTGCTTGGGAGGTGGGATGAACAAAGACCAGAGGGTCCCCTTAAACTAAAACAAGTAATATTATACAAAGCCTGTGATTTACTGTTCTGAAAGTGTTGCTTTATGTGACCTAATATAGAAGTTCTTGATAAAGTTTAAAGTTCACCAAGAAGTCACCTATGGGTAAAACTTTCAGAACATTCACATTTCACAACAGTCAAGAGGCTAAAGGATAGAACAAGGATAAAAGGATCAGAACAGCAAAACAACGCATGATTAGTAAAAGTATCAACAAATTCCATCAATCAATTTGAAAAATCTATGTTAGCCCAAATATTATAGCAATTATATCGGTATTAATTGTGCGCGAATTCAGATAAGCATTTTGGTTCACACTTTACAATATATCATACATTCCTGATGTGTAAATTACTGCATTTTTGTATTTTTCATTCCCTGTCAAACATACATGGACAGTGTTTGCAATTTCAGCAATGACTTCTCATTCATCTAGAAATAGCCATGTTTAAATCAAGATGGAGCCATCGAAAAATCAGCTCATCACTTATGCTTCTTAACAGCTTCTACCCCCAAGCCATAAGACTCCTGAACAGCTAATCATGGTTACCCAGACTATTTGCATTGCCCCCCCCACCCCACACCACCCCACCTCAACCCCCACTTCCCACCCCCATCTTTTATGCTGCTGCTACTCTGTTGATTATTTATGCATAGTCACTTTAACTCTACTCACATGTACATATTCCCTCAATTACCTCGCACATTGACTCTGTACCGGTACCCCCTGTATATAGCCTCCCTACTGTTATTTTATTTTACTGCTGCTCTTTAATTATTTGCAATTTGTTATTTTTTACTTATCTATTTTTTACTTAACACTTTTTTATTTTCTTAAAAACTGCATTGTTGGTTAAGGGCTTGTAAGTTAGCATTTCACTGTAATGTCTACACCTGTTGTATTCGGCGCATGTGGCAAATAAAATTTGATTTGATTTGATTTAAACAAGTAGCTCCTTTGTACATGAGCAGTACATCCCAGTATTTACCTCAGTTTAACTGGGAGCAATTCATTTCTGTTCCAGCATATGGAAATTCTATAGCACAGATTTCAACTGTATTATTAAAAAAAGGACAACTTAGTAGAAGGGGACAAGTCAATGAAATGCCCATTGACTATGATGCAATCCCAGTGTGTTGTCAGTTAGGTCCATAGTGAGGGCAAGTGCTTAGGGTCCATTCCAAATGGCACCCTATTCTCTACATAGTGCACTACATTCTGGTCAAAAGTAGTGCACTACATAGGGAATAAGGTACTATTTGGAACACAGCCTTAACTGCTTCCCAGGGTCTCTGGGGGTTATGGCAAAAATCTGAAGCCTTTCTGCCAGGTTAACATAATGAGCTAATTTCATGGTGTGAAAACGGACCTACTCTACTGAAACCTTTCAAAACACAGCATACCTCATAACTTGCCCTCTCTTTTGTTAGTAACCTCTTTTAATTATTTAGAGTCTGATATGTGTGTGTGTGTGTGGGGGGGGGGGGTCATACTAAGATGGTCATACTATGGATCATTTATCCATTTGATTTAGAATTTAGGACCACTTTAGGTATCAAAAACATATACAGTGGCTTGCGAAAGTATTCACCCCCTTGGCATTTTTCCTATTTTGTTGCCTTTTTTTAAATTGATTTTTTTGGGGTTTGTATCATTTGATTTACACAACATGCCTACCACTTTGAAGATCCAAATTTTTTTTGGGGTGAAACAAACAAGAAATAAGACAAAAAAAACAGAAAACTTGAGCGTGCATAACTATTCACCCCCCCCCCCCCCCCCCCCCCCCCACCCCCCCCCCCACCCCCCACACCCCCCACCCCCCAAAACAGCTGCAAGTCTCTTGGGGTATGTCTCTATAAGCTTGGCACATCTAGCCACTGGGATGTTTGCCCATTCTTCAAGGCAAAACTGCTCCAGCTCCTTCAAGTTGGATGGGTTCCGCTGGTGTACAGCAATCTTTAAGTCATACCACAGATCCTCATTTGGATTGAGGTCTGGGCTTTGACTAGGCCATTCCAAGACATTTAAATGTTTCCCCTTAAACCACTCGAGTGTTGCTTTAGCAGTATGCTTAGGGTCATTGTCCTGCTGGAAGGTGAACCTCCGTCCCAGTCTCAAATCTCTGGAAGACTGAAACAGGTTTCCCTCAAGAATTTCTCTGTATTTAGCGCCATCCATCATTCCTTCAGTTCTGACAAGTTTCCCAGTCCCTGCCGATGAAAAACATCCCCACAGCATGATGCTGCCACCACCATGCTTCACTGTGGGGATGGTGTTCTCGGGGTGATGAGAGGTGTTGGGTTTACGCCAGACATAGCATTTTCCTTGATGGCCAAAAAGCTAAATTTTAGTCTCATCTGACCAGAGTACCTTCTTCCATATGTTTGGGGAGTCTGCCACATGCCTTCTGGCGAACACCAAACGTGTTTGCTTATTTTTTTCTTTAAGCAATGGCTTTTTTCTGGCCACTCTTCCGTAAAGCCCAGCTCTGTGGAGTGTATGGCTTAAAGTGGTCCTATGGACAGATACTCCAATCTCCGCTGTGGAGCTTTTTCTCCTCCTTATCTTTGGTCTCTTTGTTGCTTCTCTGATTAATGCCCTCCTAGCCTGGTCCTTGAGTTTTGGTGGGCGGCCCTCTCTTGGCAGGTCTGTTGTTGTGCCATATTCTTTCCATTTTCTAATAATGTATTTAATGGTGCTCCTTGGGATGTTCAAAGTTTCTGATATTTTTTTATAACCCAACCCTGTACTTCTCCACAACTTTGTCCCTGACCTGTTTGGAGAGCTCCTTGGTCTTCATGGTGCCGCTTGCTTGGTGGTGCCCCTTGCTTAGTGGTGTTGCAGACTCTGGGGCCTTTCAGAACAGTTGTATATATACTGAGATCATGTGACAGATCATGTGACACTTAGATTGCACTCAGGTGGACTTTATTTAACTAATTATGTGACTTCTGAAGGTAAATGGTTGCACCAGATCTTATTTAGGAGATTCATAGCAAAGGGGGTGAATAGATATGCACGCACCACTTTTCCATTATTTATTTTTTAGAATTTTTGGAAAAAGTTATTTTTTTCATTTCACTTCATTTCATTTGGACTATTTTGTGTATGTCCATTACATGAAATCCAAATAAAAATCCATTTAAATTACAGGTTGTAATGCAACAAAATAGGAAAAATGCGAAGGGGGATGAATACTTTTGCAAGGCACTGTATAACATTTTTATTTTATAAAATATTGTACTGCTATAGCCCATAGAAACACATTGAAAAACACGTTAATAAATGGCAAAAAGGACAGTAAAAAAATAAATAATAGGAAACAAGGTTTTGAAGTGTCTGTCCTAAATCTAGGAGACGTTAAAAAAAAACTCTGGATGTATTTTGTTGGTTTTAACACATATTTAACCCCTTTTTTTGGGTAGGCACAAAACTACAGTTACCTTCATACTTCCATTAGTTTTTTTAAACCGGTACCAGTTACCTTCAGACAAGTCCCGTGACACTTGTGGGGGTCGTACAGTGTTCGTGAGAATCTACCCTTTCCACAGTAGGGTCCCATTAGTTTGTTGCCCAAACGGTTTGGATGCTACCAAACATAAATTGGCACATCGACGGTACCAACTTCAGATGAGTCTCCTGACACTTGTGGGGGTCGTAGAGCAAAAGGGAGAACACCATCGTCTTCGTGAGAGTTTCCTCTTTCCATATAGTGGTCATAGTCAATAGTTTGTAGGTCAAACCGTTCGGACACTACAGACGTTTTCGCGAGAAGAGTGATTTTCAGGATGTCTCATGGTCTGACAAACAGTGGTGGCTCCTGAAAAAATTCTCAGGGGGGGCAATATTTCTGATGATTTAGGTGACCTACACACATTTTAAAAAAGATATGTCCAGCAACAACATGAAGACAGGGGCAGCATATAAGTCAATACCAGAAGCATTTATTGCCTGATCTCAAAAGTGTTGGCTTACAAAATCAAAATAAGTTATCACAGTAAAAATAATCAAGGGTGTTCTTTCACATTCCTCAACACTGCATAAACAATATGCATTTCCATAAAACACCTCATCTAATTGTGCCACAAAGTTGACAAGTCCAAGAAAAATACCAGGGTTGGTGGAGCCCTCAGTTTCATCTTTGCCTCGCAAAGCTAACTCAAACACTCCGCAAAACTTCACACACTGGATTAGCCGGCTGAGGATGTGGCGGTTCTTGCTAACCTCATCGTTGTGGCGGCGGACAGCTAGCCTGTATCCCTCATCCAGTTGAGTGGCAATGTTCACTCTCCCCAATGCAGACAATCTCAAACAGCTATCCATGTGGGTCTTTGACAGCTCATGTTTCTTAATCTTTTCTGAAAGATGGTGCATGTCCGTTACACCAGTCGCTGTCCAAGCGGTGCTGTCTGCCGTGCCGCCTTCAGGGTGAAAGAGTAAGCAGGGGGTAGCAGAAGACTGCATTAGCTACATCACAGCCTGCTAGCCAGGTTTTTCGTTCGTACCAATTTTTGGAAAATCCTCGGGTGTAGGACTTTCCCCCTTTAGTAGAAACCTGTTGAATTATTAAATTTGGTCTGGGAGGTCCTAATTGTTTCGTTGCCAATTTATCTTGATTTGTTCGCCGACAAAAAGGAACTTCTTTCAAAGAGACAATCGAGTTGCACTGAACGCTAGCCATCTTGACAGTAGTACGTGAATTGATTGACGCTGCTACCCGCTCTTTTCTTAGTTACGTTCATGGTTATGTTACGTATGACGAAAGCGCGTAAGTGCAAGCCCTCCCGGAACCTATAGAGATTGTATTGAAAGCTCTGATATTTGAAACAAAAAGATTTTACATGAGAGTCTATGAGAGACTTCTGGGGCGATTTTCAACCTGACTGAAATCGCCCCAAAAGGGGCGGGGCCATTTGAAGCACGACTTTAGCCTGATTGGACATTTAGTGGCAGATCAGACGTCTAGATTAGAACACTGATAACTACTGTTGCCGTGATATAATTGATTAGAAAAAAAATCCCTTCCTTTTCCCGTTTGGCAGTGCGTCGCCCATATCGCCCTAATGAACACACCGCCCCTGCTGACAAATACTGCTCTAGCTCTGCCACCTTTCACTGCAGATGCGGAAATGCGACTCTGGCGGATGCGGTGGATTGAGAAGCATCCAACGCAAACAACCTGATATCTCTAGTTTAAACTGACAGAGTTTGATAGGGATTATTTGGGTATGTAATTTAGATTGACACACTGGTGCATCAATCGACTAGGGGGTTAAAAAGTGACGCAAAGGGAACCCTTTTTACTGTAACTTTACTACAACATTACCTCACTCAACAAGGCTCCTGCCACTGAAGAATTTGATACTCATTCATAAAAAATGTAAATAAGTCCAAGAAAACACTTTCACTCTAATAAAATAAACTAGAAAGTAACCAATGCAAGTTCAACATATTTTAAGGTATAACTAACATATACAACCTTACTCTGAGAGCAACCCTACCATCTTTTTCTATGGCTTGCTGTCATCACCCTTTTCCTGGTTCTTCCTAGAAAGCAGGTGTTGAGTACCACATCAAGTCTTGTCCTATCAGAGACCGCGGAGACACAACTCATCATTATTCTGAAGCAAGAGAAAAGGAAAGTCGCAGCGCTCACCTGTTGAGCTAGAATGACCAGGAGCGAAGAGCAGAGCAGAGATAGCATATTTTAAGTACCCAGGTTCATGTGAGCTCTGGGAGCTTGAGAAAGAAAAAGTGGGAAAGCAGGATAGAGAGTGAGAGAGAGGGAGGGGGGAAAGGAAAAGGCGGAAGAGCGATCGAGGGAGCTGAGCTGGCACAAAGCGCCCCTCTGTCTCCTCTCCAAACACACCTTTCTGTGGCTTACTGATCCGAAGGAGAAATATTTCTCTACATAACTGCTGGCCTGTTCTTAGACGTCCAAGCCCAGACCACTTGTTTATCCACCAGTCTGTAGATCTATTGCCTAACACAAGCACATTCATATTAGACTCATCTCTGCTTTATTCTTAAACTTTTTACAGTTAAAACATATTTGAAACCACTTACACATTTTAGATGAACATGTTTGTTTACACTACACACATGCTCTATAGTGAGACAGTTTATGTGATTTGTTTTATTTTTATAGAAGTGATATTCTCTGCTCAAGCATGAGTGTACAGCAGGGTTATTCAACTCTTACCCTAAGACAGGGTTTCCCAAACTTGATCCTGGGGACCCCAAGGGGTGCATGTTATGGTTTTTGCCCTAGCACTACACAGCTGATTCAGATAAACAATGTATCATCTAGATTTGATTTTTTGAATCAGCTGTGTAGGGCTAGGGCAAAAACCAAAAAGTGCACCCCTTGGGGTCCCCAGGACCGAGTTTTGGAAACGCTGCCCTACGAGGTCCGGAGCCTGATGGCTTTCTGTTCTAACTGATGAGTGAGAAAGTTACAGACGCACAATTATCATACCCCCAAGACATGCTAACCTCTCACATTACAATAACAGGGGAGGATAGCCTTTTATTTTTTTATTTTTGGTGGGGTGGGGGGGGGGGGGGGGGGGGGGGGTGGTATGATATCTATGCCTCTGTAACTTTCTCAGTCATCATTATTCACAATTCATTCAGGACTATCCGTAATCGTGGTGGCATCCACATTCATGTAGAAGTGTTTAGAAAACATATTCTATTCTTATTTACAATAAAAGTGACTACAAAATGACACAATACATTATTTACCATTCATTTCTATTGTGCACAAAATAATCTGAAACACAACCAAAACAAACAGCAAATGCATCCAACAAGTTTGTAGAGTCACTAGCTTGATGTAGTCATTGAGTGCTATGAATATGGGACCAAATACTTCACTTTTTACTAATTTATATATGTATATGATGGTGTCTATAGACAGTATATGAATAGAAAAGGTGTGTACAGCAGTAGTTATATAGGATGAGCCTTGACTAGAATACAGTATATACATATGAAGTGGGTGAAACAGTATGTAAACATTATTAAAGTGACCAGTGTTCCATGTCTATGTACATAGGGCAGCAGTCTCTAAGGTGCAGGGTTGAGTACCTGGTGGTAGCCGGTTAGTAACAGTGAATAAGTTCAGGGCAGGGTACTGAGCGGAGGCCTGCTAGTGGTGACTATTTAAAAGTCTGATGCCCTGGAGATAAAAGCTGTTTTTCAGTCATTCGGTCCCAGCTTTAATGCACATGTACTGTCTCCGCCTTCTAGATGGTAGCGGGGTGAACAGGCCATGGCTCGGCTGGCTGAAGTGTTCTTTTAGTAGTAGTAGTAGTAGTAGTAGTAGTAGTAGTAGTAGTAGTAGTAGTAGTAGTAGTAGTAGTAGTAGCGGTAGTACACTGCAAGAAGTGAAATCTAAGCAAGCCTAAATATCTTATATTGAGTTATAATTCACAAAAAAATTGTGTTTTTACTTGTTTTTTCTTAACAAGCTAAATTATCACTCAATGGAAGATACTGTTGCTTATTTTAACCTAAAAAAGGCTTAATACAAGTACTTTTTCTTATTTCAAGATATTTTTCAAGATATGTTTTTGTAAATAAATAAATAAAATAATTTAAAGTGAATTTTCACTACTGTAGTAGTAGTAGCAGAATGCCTATAGAAACAGGAGGTTTTTTTCTTCAGATATGGGCACCACGTCATTGCTCTCTATCTCGCTCTGCTGTGTGTGCCTCTTGCTAACTGTCACTCAAACGGCGAGGAGCTGAAGCTCATTGGCAAAACATTTAGGGAAGATGGCGCCGCACAGCTTCCAGAAAACATTGGCTTTCAAACTAGGGATTTGTGGCTAATTGAGGTAAAACAGTAATTCTGCTCATAGATTATGCATGTATGAACTACACATTGACACATCCAGCCCAAAGCAGGATGTTTAAAAAATACTTACTAGTCGCCAAAGTTCCGGAGCATGTCTTTAAAATGAGTCCAAGATGTCAGTTGCTGCAAGTAGTCTAGAGGCAGAAGTACACTGAATGATAGGTCAAGGCATTCTAAGCATTAGACCTCATCAGACTTGATGCCCCTTAAAAGGTGATAATGCAATGCCTGGGGTGAGAATATTATCAAACTCAGTCCTACTGCATTGTTGCTGTTAGTGTATTGAGAAGTGATTCTTTGAATGTTTACATTTTACTAGTCTCATTTGCTATACAAATGTTAGTGGCAGTGTTTAGTAACACTTCAATAGGAAAGGTGCCAGGAAAGTCCAACTGAACTAACTGAGAAGCAGATCAAAGAAATGGAAGCTAAGTGAGGAGATTAACTGACAGTCAGCCCCCCTGGTATAGAGTGACAGACAGAAAGACAGGCTGATTTTAAACCCTGTGAGTGTGGGGGCACAAGCTGCTCATGTGTCCCCTTCTGTGGGCAGGATAATGGGCCTAGGATGGAGGTGCTGAGGCTGGGGTCACGCATACAAACACCCACACATACCTGTATTTGTTTCTTAATGAAGTGGAAGGGCCTGTGGCATCCTGATGCCCTGCTGTACACACACAGTCTCACTCAATTCAATTCAATTCAATTTAACATGGGATTGACATGGGAAACATATGTTAACATTGCCAAAGCAAGTGAAGTAGATAGTAAACAAAAGTGAAATAAACAATAAAAATTAACAGTAAACATTACACTCAGAAATTCCAAAAGAATAAAGGCATTTAAAATGTCATATTATGTATGTATGTGTATACAGTGTTGTAACAACGTGACAAATAGTAAAGGTATCAGATGAAAGGCAGATCGATGAGTGAAAGAGAGAGAGAGAAAGAAGAGAGAGAGCAAACGAGAGAGAAAGAGAGCAAGAAGAGGATGACGAGAGAGAGAGAGAGAGAGAGAGAGAGAGGAAGAGAGAGAGAGAGAGAGAGAGAGAGAGAGAGAGAGAGAGAGGCAAAGAGAGAGAGAGAGAAGAGAAGGCAAAGAGAGAAAGAGAGAGAGCAGAGAGAAAGAGAGAGTAGAGAAAGAGAGAGAGAAAGAGAGAGAGAGAGTAGAGAGCAGAGATCGGCGAGAGGATAGCGAGAAGGAGCGTGCGAGACAGGGAAGCGACGAAGAGAGAAAGAGTCGGAGAGAGATAGCAGAGTGCCTCTCTCTCTCTTCTCTTCTCTCCTGCTCTTCTGTCGTCTTCTCTCATCTCTCTCTCTCTCTCTTCTCTCTCTCTCTCTCTCTTTCTCTCTCTCTATTTCTCACACACTGATCTGGAACGCAGCCACATTGTACTACTCTTTCAGGCAAGACTCCCCTTCATGAATGATCACTCTCTCCAGGTGTATCATGTATTTTTCATAATGTCCATACATAATGGTTCTTTTTACTTTATGAATCAAATATATGTATAGCGTATGGAGTTATGAAAGCTTTTCTCTTATGGCCAGTGCATGGCAGCAAAACATTCCAAAGGTCTTGAAATAGTAACCCTGCCAAGAGTTTTGTAACTGCCTGTTGCATAAAATATACTTATCCTACCACAAGGGGGCACTCAGAGCAATCTGAGGGAATCTTATACTACAAACAACCATTGGGGATTTGTGATTGGTGCATAAAGAGCTCCTACAGAACCTAAGGCAACATGACCTCATATGCTTTTTACATAAAGACACAAAATGGACCAATCAAAATGTCCCACGTTCAGGCCAGAGCTTCTTTCATGAACTTTATTGTGCAGTAAATGTCTCTGGTGTTCAAACAGAGTAGTTCTTTTTACTGTCACTTAATTAAATATATGACCCGGTGTCTTGAACTTGACAGTTACAGCACAATTATTCACACTTCTGTTTACGCCGTAGGTGATCACTCAAACAACTTCACAAAAATGTTTATAAAACCTTTCTGACTGCTTTCATAAATGTTGAAACAGAGCGCCACCTCCTCCTCTCCTCCTCCTAGGAGCCAGCTGTCTGACAGGTCCCCTAGACAGGAGGGCCTTAGGGGACATTCCTGTCCCAAGCTGTGCCACTCCGCTCTCAGCCACTCATCAATTACACACACCTTTCACATCATCTCCCACTTAAACACAGTGAAGAAAATGCCTTTGACAGTTGCTAGAAGTGGGTTTAGTTATAGAAACCATCTGTGGTTAGAAATACTGTATGCTGGACTGAAGAATTAACAGCATGATGCTTTGGCGGTAGTGTGACGCATCCTCACATAACGCAACTTATGAAAGGTTTATGGGTTATGAAAGGAATGTTCATGTGTCGATCTTCAGGGCCCTCAGGCTAACCAAAGATTCCCCACATTTCCCCCCACGATTTGACTAGTATATTAATTAAATTAAAATTACAAATGTATTGTTTTATAGATATAACATACATTAACATTATTAGTAGTTATCCTTGAAACACATCATTCAAAGAATCTTAAAAGATAAAGACGAGAAGAAAAGGTGGAAATTGTCATGAAAAGATTCAGGCAGAGGCTTCCCATCCACACACGACTGGCCTAAGCTCATTTACAACCCTAACCCTAACCCTAACCCTAAAAGATTCAGGCAGAGGCTTCCCATCCACACACGACTGGCCCAAGCTAATTTATAACCCTAACCCTAACCCTAACCCTAAAAGATTCAGGCAGAGGCTTCCCATCCACACACGACTAGCCCAAGCTAATTTATAACCCTAACCCTAACCCTAACCCTAAAAGATTCAGGCAGAGGCTTCCCATCCACACACGACTGGCCTAAGCTCATTTACAACCCTAACCCTAACCCTAACCCTAAAAGATTCAGGCAGAGGCTTCCCATCCACACACGACTGGCCCAAGCTAATTTATAACCCTAACCCTAACCCTAACCCTAAAAGATTCAGGCAGAGGCTTCCCATCCACAC